GTTACTGAATCCGTGTCAAGTTCTCCAGGGTTTATGGTTCTGGTAAGGATGCTCAGAGGTTTGAGTTCACAGATCTGAGATTTTATACCAGTAATATATGTTGATAGTTCAGATATACTGGTCAAATTTTCTGAACATCCTACATTCATAGCCTTACTACACCTTATAACCCTCATCTCAGCCTCCAGGTCCTCTACAGATGGCTTTAATCGTTCTTCTTCTGAAGTAAGTGTTGAAGATGGACTTGGTATCTAGAGTTTTGTGACACGTACATAAGGTTTAGTGAAGAGGTCTATGTCAGGATCAAAGCTGAGTTTTTAGAAGGGATGCCACTACAAGTTGTCAGTATATTTTTGCTGTCAGTTCCGACCACAGTAGATGGTAGTGACTCGGCAGCTCGATGTTTGCGGCGTATTGAAGAGTGTGACTCACTGGCATATTCTGTGGGAGGCGTGTTGCTCGTTGTTGTGAGCATATATGTGCTATCAGTCATCAGGTTAACAGGTGACTGAGTTCGTGGTTCTTTTGTATGACTAACCATAACTAATTAGTGAAAGAGTTATCGGTTACAATTATGGAACTGGATTGTGAGTCCCACTGCAACAATAGAAATATATAACGAGTCAAGCTAAGATGGGCAAAGTTAAACTTTCGACTCCAGTAACAACCAATCAGCAAACGACCTTGAACGGACCAACCACATGAAAGAGGCGTTTACGATAAGCGGAAACGTATACTTATAGAAAAATGAATAAAAAAAATGATGAAACGGTTACAATGGGTATTTTTCCCGAACATGGGAGAGAAACATTTCCCAATTCAGCATGTGACTGTCAACAGAGAAGTCGCCCCACATTCTATACATATATTCATCTAAATGACTATAAATGAGATCCTTTTGGGATCTATTTATAGCCCTTATTCTATTTTTCAATTGACCCCAAAATCCTTCAATGGATTTTATATAAACCTATAACCCAAATGTTGTTCGCTCTCTGACGACAGCGGTTATATTTCTTCTTCACCAACACTGTCTCATCTACATGGACTACTACGTCGTCCCCGCCTAACAACAGAGTAATTCTGTCCATTTTCCATGAGGCTATGTCCCTGCAGTGCTGGTATGTCAGTGGTATACCACTGAACTGCTGAGACGGGGCTGTTCTGCGTCTCGGCAGCAGCGGCTCTCACTGGATGTTTCAGTACCCAGTAATTGCAAATGTACAAAATCTGGGTTAGGGAGCTTAAGCAGCCCAAACCGAAACTAACTTGAGAACGGAAGAATGACCTTGAGCAGCCAATCAGGTGACTTTTTATAGCAATAGGTGTGGTGAGAGCAAGCTGCTAGCCAATTGGTAGACATTGATCTACGCTGATTGGTAGAAATTAATCTAGGCTGATTCAAGGACCAATCACAGCTGACCTTGACATGGACAAATATGATTCGCAGACAAGTGGCTCGCATTTCCGAGAAACATAGAAAACGAGAAAGCAGAAGACTGCGTTTGTGTGCAAACAACCAATCAGAAGACCGCCTTCTTTCTGCGGGCAGAAGTCTATTAATGTATGTAAAATGCATATAAATACATGTTGGTTATCGTAATAAAACTGATCTGTTGCCAGCCTTGTCTTCTGTTGTTACATAGGTTTTGGGGATATATGGCACCAGCCTCTAGAAAGGACACATTGAGACGACCCCTAAGCGCAGGGCATGTGTATTATTGACTATTATCTAGCGCTTAGTGCTGCCTGGGACGACTATTGTCGTTTTTTCAGCCTTCTGATTGATCCTTGACAAGGTCATTTGTCCGTTCGTAAGGTAGTTTCGGTTTGGGCTGCTAAAGTTTAGGGTCACCAGGGAGAGATGCGACCTAGCGAAAATCTCCTATGAATTATTACCCTCTCTAATACTAACTCGCTTCCAGCATATACCAGAACGATGTACATAACCATCAGTTGACCTAGTATAGCTTTTTAGAGTCATTACACCATCACACGAACAACGTCTCTCCTTTCAAAGCAAGCCTAAGTCCAGGCAATACCGAAGGACACTATCCTCCTCTAGATGCAAACTTAACCTTGTAAGGGCACGCATTGAAATGAATCAAGCGCTATACAACATTGAACTACGTTCGTGAATCTCATTGGATAATTCGACGCCGTTCGCTGACTGGTAGTTATTGGTGTCTAAAGTTGAACTTGGCCCTAAGATGTAACGAAAACCTTGAACGTACCGGTTACGCATATGAGAAATGCGATGTCATTGTCCAGGTCTAACTACACTGGACTTAACGCTGTCCTTAAAAGACCTTCAGCAACAATGTGCAATAACCAACGCGAAAAAAAGAACACAGATTGGTGACTCGAGAATCCTTTATTCTTGCACCAATATAGAACCAACAATAAGGTTATTATACACAAAGTCTAAGAATAAATGTCATAACAATTAATCACAATAATACTTCTGATAGTATTTCTCCGTCTTCTAACGAACAGCGTACGATGGAACGATGACTGCAGTATCGGTGACTCCCGCCAAAATATGGAGTTGGTTTTGGGTAAACAACCATGAATTGATCGTTCATTCTTCAACTACATTGACACTCCCCGGCAAAAAAGGGATCCATCCCTTTTTTCCATCACGACCAATACACGTTGACCTGGATGGCACAGCTCCCATTCGGTTATTCTTCTCATCCTTCTGAATTCCTCTATCAATAACTACCTCTGAGGGACCATATCTTCCTGTGTCGTGCAGACGCAACAGTGTCCCCGAGAAAAAATGTATCATGGTCTTTTCAGTGCTTCAACGTTTGTATCTCAGGGCGTAGTGATGAAGCAGTTGAACATGACTGGGACTGAAGTCTCTTGTGGCATCCGTCTAAAGTTGTGCACGGATACCGTAACTAATTGGCATACATTTACCTGGAGCGGAAGACGACGCTGATTAACCAGAGCACATTCATTGGAACGAGACCCATTAGGCTCTGCCTGCCTGGAATATAGTGGTACACGTGATCGCTAACAGAGTGGAAATCGGTCAACGGAGGAGAGCGAGCTAACAGTGCCACTAAAACAGGGGGGTTCGATTGAGACTGAACGCCCGCGAAATTCCAGCTAAAGGAGAGGCCGACGAAAGTTTGTTGCAGGTAATACCTTGGTCTCTTTGCCACGAGGTTACATGAGGTTGAATGCAGGTGTAATCAAGACAGCTGACCTCTTGATACAAAGCACGAACGGGGCAGACATGAGAGGAGATGTCGCAAAATATGTGCCGAAATGTCCGCAGTATTACACGAAGGGAAGAGATAGGTGATTACGACCGTCCCCTCAAGCGATTCCAGTTACGGTAGTAGGCGAACTGTGGTATTTTCCACAGAAGTCAAGAGGCAAACAGTGCCTCATGGCGATGACTTGACATTCTACACAGTGTTCAGACACCCTCGCGATCCCTGATTAACGCTCAGGGACTATGACTGACGCGACGTCTTGAAATATCGTCGCAGACCGCCGTGTACTAAATAAGGTATTGACAGATCAGGGTCATTGTTTTGAAAGTAAAGAATTAAAATCCTGCCTGCAACAGAGAGGTATCAAGAGGAGTAGGGATACATTATATCATCCACAAATGAATGGTATGACAGAGAGCAATAATTGTGCACTAAAGGGGTTTTTTGATCTCAAAGTGAGGCAACTTGAAGACAGAGCTTCCATTGATTCTACAAGGACAGCCTGCATCCACGTAGAAAATAACGCAAAGTTGCCGTTTCAGATGATGCATGATGCGAAACCACGACGACGAATACATGATAAGATTTGAATGCATCATTAACAGTGAATAGGGGACGGAAAGAATGAGGTGCAAGAAACATAAACAGAAGAATTATACGGCGAAATTCCAGCAGAGAAAAAAAGATGCATAACTTCGAAGTTGGGGATCAAATAGAGTGTAAAGAAAGTAAACTATTGGAAACGAATAGAATCACGGAGACTTCTTCAAAATTTAGAAGGGACATACATTGTCATTGGGAGACGTGGTTCAGCTAAGAGCATCAAGAGACGAGAAGAAAACGAATTTTTTAAAGCCAGCTAACTTCAGAGATGGATCCAGTGGGACAAGTAAGCCATTGTTTCTTTTCAGGAATTTTGTAAGCTATCTGTTTCGTGTAGTCTCTTAGCTACTTCGGTGAAAGTGAATTTTACTGGATAATGTACCCTAAATAATGCTTTCAACATATTTTACTGGTGCCTGCCCATCAAAGGAATCGCGTAGTAAATGTAAATAAATATTGTCCATGACGATTCAGTTATGGTAGAGTATAATTCCACTAAAGATACAATTTTGTTTTGATAAAATCACAGTGTCAGACAGTAATATTTACTGATGACCACGTTTCGAGCACAAATTATTGCTCATAATCATATCAAGGCACTCACACAACTTTCTTACTTCATTTATATACATGAGTAAAAAATTGGCTGGACATTTGAATAAAATCAATATAAGATAAAGTACATTCAGAAGTAATATTAGTGTCATCAATAAAATACAATCAGATGGGAAATAAGATGTTTTATAGTAAAATGAACAACTTGTCTGCACCCAACACATGCGATAGAAGTGACTCATCATCGCTAATACCAGAGATATGGAAGATATTATTACCATTCAAATCGGAGGATAATAAATAATGAATAAAGTAATGAATTAAACCAGCAGAGGAAGGTTAAATTGAATACGAATTTCTAAGCCCAATATTTGGTGAATGCTGTAGCAGACGTTTACAGAAAAACGGAGGGTGGGTATTATATAGAAGGATTTATGCCAAATATCCTAACAGGATTACTTGGCACAAACTTTCTAGCAACGTCAACATACAATTGTTCACTGTGTTTTATAAAGCTTCAACTTGTGAGTTATTATTAAAACCTTCAGGGACCTGCAGCCTTTCATCAAAATCAGAAAGGAAGTCTGAATTATCTGATATTATTAATACTAACTTGCCACCAACATATTGGTCATCGGATTACTCACTAGGACATCAAAAGAGCGAGGTTTGAAGTTGGCCGAATGAGCGGCCCTTCAAGTCCCGCAGTATGTTTTTCCCGTTTTTTCTGTATTTAATATTACTTTTTGGAGATATTGAGCGATGTTCTTCACATTCAGTAGTTACTATTCAGCATGGGATATTTACAAATATTACCATCAATGGGTTGGTCTATGTTGAAGTCCAAAATATTCCTCTCGGGAGCAGATTTGTTGTGTATCAGCTTCACAGCCCATTCAACCCACTTTTAGTGTCACTGTCTCCATCATTCACATATGATTCGTTGCAGTTTTCAGCCCACAGTGGTCTAGCTGGCTTTGTGGAGAACAAAACTACTTCGACTTTCTATGTTTATTCTTCGTATAATCTCCCGGTCAAAGCATGGGTTAAAGCTGTTGCATACGGACCAGAGTGTATGTTTAAGGTACTTCTATAAATTCATTATTGTAGTTCCCGTACCAGGGGGTTGTGGAGGTGACACTCAGAGTGGGATCATAAATACAGCTGTTACTACTGACATAATAACTAAAAATATAAATTTTTCAGGATTGACTTCAAATCGTGTTGACTTACTGAGCTACTGGACATCTTCCCTCCAATTTTATGCAGCTTCTGTGCCAAAAGAATCTGGGGGTTTTGCATGTCCTAATCTAAACGTTTCGGATGGACATCCTGGTGACCTTATTTATCACGTATTCAGTACACCTTTAATAACTGCTGGAGGCGCGTATGGGGCGTTTATAGATCCTAATCCAGATGAAGTTGCTGTGGTCATAAATGGAATGACGGATTTCGGACATGCGTCATTTGGGGGCACTTACATACGTTCCTTCCGTCTCAGGTGAGATTTTTATATTTAGCTAAATTTCTCAGTTCTTTTGGGTGCACACCTACTAGTTTCCACTTTTACAATTTTCGAACAGCCAATTATGTATACATTTTACATATCAGCTCTTAAAGTGTTTTTGTTGACTGCCTGAATGGCGTATTTGTCCGTTTTGTTATCTTGGTCAATGAATTATTTCCAAAAAATGCAGTTAATTAATTAGTTTTCAAAAAATCCTAGTGCTATTCTTTTACTGGTAGAAACAATGTACGAGAAGTGTTAGTTGGGTGTGGGTAACTGTGGCTGTTGTGACACGCGACACCGAAGCCGGGTATATGAAAAATTACGATAATCAAAACAGGGGAGTAAGCCTACAAAAACAAGTCAGGAAGTTGTGTGAACACATTTATGTATTGTTATAAAAGATTTTGTATTTCCCAATAAGTGAAAAACAAAACGACATTGTTTTTATTTCATTGGGAAATACAAAATCTTTTTAATAGTGAATATCATATACCAAATGCCTAAATTTTCTCAAATTGTTAAAAGTGAAATTGGTTTGGACATATATATATATATATATATATATATATATATATATAATTTATGTATTCATTAGCAATAAATTGTGCTCGAAACGTTATCAGGTTATTAATACAGTATCAATGTGTTGAATCAAATGAACTTATTTATTATGGATAATTCATATTTCTGGAACATTTGGTTGTTCTCACTACTTCCAAGCATATATGCATAAGTAAAGTCCTCACCTCAAGGACGTGTACTTGTAGTTTACCTAGTATTTTACTTTACTTATGAACTGTTTTCCTCTTATGAGGTGGAATTCCGGTTTTGCGATACTAATGTAAGGGTAAAATGCAGACACTAGATTAGTATTAACGTCTGTGGCAGTTACAAACAACCTAATTAACGTGAGCTTTAATCAGATGTATTTTATTTCGTTGATTTTCAGCAGCATGCAAAGGAAAGGTAAATAGTTATAGGATGCATTTTTAAAAGTAATATAACTGTCTTATCAACGTAGAAATTTAATCACAATGTAACAGTCCAATATGGCATATTTCAAAAAGTTACCCATAAAGTATAATATACAAATATTGTACAACTGGTGACATCCATATTAGTGATAAGAAGTTGCGTAATGCAGTCAATCGAAACTAACTGACAAGTTTTTTTTTACATTTTTCCAGTGAGCTTCGTTTTGATGATCAATTCATGTCTAACGTACTTGTATCACGCCGTCCAGCTACCGCATATATTGTTACTGTTGTTGTGGAGTACTCAGTTTCTGGTGGCACCTGGAAAGTGCCCTACGTTCCTGTAGTTCTTTTCGGATGTCGTGCTGAAAGTTTGTCACACTTTTATCGTGTTGGATACAACCAACCCGCTTTAAATGCTAGTTCTCATGTAGACTGTGGCATTCTTCCTAAAGATACACCAATTATTCTGTTCCCCATTGCTGTTTTACTTCTTGCGAGCTGCCTGTACGCCACTTCCTGCAACATATGGATATGGCCCCGTAAGTTTGTCGTTTTTAGATAAGTGACTTCTGGTGTTCGAGATAATATATCTGGAAATATATGTGTACTTCCTTACGTTTTAACAAAGTTTCATTATGCTTTATGTATCTATCCTACGATTATCAGTGTCTATAAGAACTAATCGTGGTAGGATGTACTTGATGAAAGTTTAATTGGTAACATGGTACGTTTTCTATACTCGTTTCCTCTCACCTTATTCGGGCCAGTATCATCATTCAACATTAGCGATTACTAAATTTGTTTGAAGTTAGAACTGAGTTATTTGTTACAGATTTTCCATGTATCTGGCTATGAGCTACACATTGTTTCAGGGCTAATAATACTACCTAGTTATCCAGGCTCAGGTAGATAGGTCGGGATTCAAATCCTGGACCCATTGAGTAAAAGCCGAGTGGTAGGTCACTGAAAACAACTTAGTTACTGTAGATAGTAACGTTTCCCAATTTATTTAGGGATCATGTTTTATTTCAAATCTAGATGCTGTTGATCTAGTGATTACGTAAATTGCAGTGGAATAACTCTTGTGACTTACCAACGATCACATACTTCATACTAATATTCTAGTACTAAAGGCGCCAAACAATACCATTATTTTTGTTGTCGACTTTTTTTGAGACTGCGAAAATCTTCGCAAAGCTTGTAAATATCGTTAAATACATCTCGTTTCGTCATAGTTTGTTGTAGTAGGACAATATCCTGGTGAATAAACACGCGGTTATGTATAGTCTCAATGTATTCTACTTTTTATCAATGGTTACGGAAGTGAGTTTAGCTTTCAAGACCAGTGTATCCACACACTAAATAGATAAGTGTCTTTATCGTTAATTCGTCCCTATTTTTAACAGGTGCGCTAAACGGTGTAAACAATTTGTTTCGTGTAAAACTAATTCACTGATACAGTAGCACAGGACTTAGCACAAAAATGCATCATTTCAAAATGTAAGTTAGAAATTAGAGAAAGCGAGAGAGGACTAATTAATTTTCGTTTTGTTGTAGAACCTTAAATCTCTGAATATGTGTCATGTCTCTGCACCACTGCATAATGCATATTGTGTAACCTGTCTAAATAAGGGTTTTGTGAGACTTTCTGAGTGAAAACTAGAGCTGCTATTTGAAGTGATAGGGTCATGTGAACAGGAATCCACATATATCACCGCTTAATCGTGAAGATCATCCACTTGACTGTTGTTTGACTTCAGTAGATCAAATTCGTTGGTACGAGGACAAGAATATAGGTATTTAAGAGGTAATAAAGTATCAATGCAGTTCTTTAATTCTTCAGTTATATTCTTAGGAGAATCGGATACTTTTAGATTGTTTGTTACTGGTGTGAGTTGGTAGAAATGTGGTGTTGTTTTTGAATGTTATTTATATTTAGTTTTTTTTAAAAATTACATCTTTTCAGGTTGTGCTGTCAGCATGATGATAATGGCTTCCGTTATTGGATTAATATTCTTCTACAGATTCTCAGATGATTATAGTAACAGTGAGTAGTTGTTATTCATAAGTTAATGAATTTTAAGCTTTAATCAAGTGGTTTTTATTCGTTCCTTACGGCGACAAATTCTGTGATTATACCAAGTGAGAATTATAACTTATAATGACAGAAGAATTATATTTATTTCTCATCAGTTTTTCTTAAACTGTTTCGTTTTAAATATCCTTTTCTTCTTCATGGCTAAATTTTTAGTTTGTGGGTTTCATGAACTTCTGCAAAAACAAGATATGCAAGGATTTCGTTAGGAAATGAAATTAGCTGGAATGCCGTTAAAAGCTTATAGCACTGGGTAAACTGTTCGTGACAGTTTGTCACTCTTCAATAGTGCGAGCTCTCTATCTCTCTCATTCGATAACTAGGTTAGAATTCAACAGCCCGTAGGTTGTGATTTCTGTCAATTCACGATATAATGACACCATTTAATGTCGACAGTGAGTAATTGTCTTTACATTTCGATTCTCGTTAGAACTTCAGCAAATATAGCCGAAATCCAGTTACTAAAGAATATTGGGTTAACTGTCGGGAATTGAGCTGTGTGGATATTTGAATAATTTTAAGTTCATCATTCACTAGGTTTGATTTCCTCAAAAACGATTGTGTAGTTGAGAGGACCTGTATTAAAATTCAATATTTTTGTTAACAAGATGTATTGGCTAGGCGATTCTAAGTATGACGAGCTGTTAGTGTCCCATCAGTCTGGGAGTAATTAAACGTGTGTAAATAAATATAGGAAAAGTCATGAGAAATATTAGTCTGTTAATTACTCGGTTGTGTTAGTATTTGTTGGTGTTGTACTTGTCAGATTTTTTAAATCATGTGAGAATTTATTACATAAATATTGGAGCAAACTGCATATAGCAGATTCATTGATAACAAATTCAATCTTCAACTGATGTTTGAATTTCATTTTATATGTTATAAGCCAGAAACAAGTGTATTTATTGGTACTAAGACTATCTTCCCTCTATTCAACAAGATTGAATTTTTGAGTTGCGCGTTAAAATGTGTTTCTAAGGTCTGAGTCAATATTTTTAAATCAGGCACAAAACATCTCAGGCTAAGCGGGGTGATAAACAATCTTTTGTTTCAGATTGTAACTGCTGTTTGGCATGGCTATTCGGCTCAGGTTTATGCCTTTTTCTTCAGCTTCAAGTGTTTATCTTTATTCCTGTCAGATATATTCGTTTAAATGTAATCAGTGATTGCATAGTTTTTTAAAGGATATTCCTGTTATCAAACTAGTTGTAGAAGATCCTCAAATTTCAGATAGATATGCATACGAATATAATGTAAACATCTAAAGCTTACAGTCATATGTATTCCACACTGATTATATTGGTTTCTATGGTAAAAGATTGTAGTCTGTTTCATCTGCTTTTTTGCAGCAAAATAAGTAGATGCAAATTCATTCGTCTCAGTAGTTTGAATACTAATTTATTATGGTAAAAGTCAAATTGTAATGAATAATATTAATAATAAATTTATCAAGCACAATTTATATAATGCACATATTTATAATTACAATAGGAAATATCCGCCTACTTAATATTACAAGATTTTCAGGTAAAAGGTCTTTATCAACCTCCATCAGAAGTATTTCTGCAATTCTTTCTCTGTAAACTTTGTATTTACAGGGTATATGACAATAATGTGTAATCTGAAATAACAACATTATGGAAACAGAAAGAATATTCAAGATACAGAACTAGACAAGCGTTTAAATTTGTTGGTTGTACTTCCATTTTTATACACAGTGTTGACTTTTGTCATTTCCCCTTGATTTTTCTATTGCAAGTAATTTCATTATTTTTATGTTTTGAATAGCCCGCGTTATTTTGATCTCAAGTGCCTTACTGCCAGCTTTGCTTGCCCTAGTCATATTTGTAATACTTTGGTGGCGTTGTATTCGTCCTACTTTGCATTATCGCCGTGTGTTTGGGCGTGGTCCACTAGTAAAGGTGGGAAATACCACATCTGCTCTTGTTAACGAGCCTTGGAATTCAGATGTATTGGATTATAATCATGCAAATACCAGTGTTCCATTTGAATGTGCATCACAAGCCGAATATACATCAACGAATACTGTTAATATATTGCCTCTATTGAATGAAGAAGAGGCTAACATTAGTATGTTGCGATCAGATAATAATTCAGTATCCCAGCATTTAGTAAACCGTTATAACAACTCAACCAATCCTAATGAGCTTACTAGTAATGATGATATCGACAGTGATGAAAATTACGTTCGGATTTATGGTATTCGACTTTTTCGCAGGCCTAGAGATTGTCTGAAATGCGCAAACAGTTCATCTGGCCCATATAAACTCTTCGACTTACGACCTCGTCGTCTTGCTCGCCTCCCGCCTATTTTACCTGCAACATTTATCTTCATCGGTTATCTGTGTATCTCTCTTGGTAAGTGTTATGAATTTTGTTTTACTTTTGGTTTACAGTATTTATTTCACACTGAAATACATTTTTACTGTTAACATGCGTGATATATTGTTCGCTTTCATGTTTGCTTGCTATCAGTAAGTTAATTAAGAATTAAATGATTTAGTTAAATCTTACTGTTAACGATAATTTAAGACTTTGCTTTTCCCTTCAGCGTGTGGTTTCGTATAATTGCCACTATCATTATTTGATTTGCTTTTCCTTTTGTTCACCCTTACTTTGATCTACTATCATGAAGTGTAGTTTTCGTGTTGTCTCTTGTTACTTCAGTAATATTGTTTCAAGGTTACGATCACTTGTAAAACTGAATTTACTCAATATGTTGATTTAAAACTGTCGGGTATTCAGTGTACATCGCTTTACATCATGTTTCGTAGGTTTGATTGATATTTTAATAGATTTAAGTCTGTAGCTACATTGTATTATCTGTAATACCTGTTGAAATCGTTAATTTCAGATAACTCACGACTATCCTAGTGAATACACTTGTCACGTGGGAGCTTGTTAAGCATGAATGCTTATTGAGTAACTTACTATGCTCTCCCTTACCCTGAGATAAATTTGCATTAACTGAAGTTACTTCTAAAGTCGTTTCCATTTTTCCCATCAAAATGAACATGATGCAACAAGTATTCATGCTGCAAGCGTTCATAAAAATGTTCATATTTATACAGATGTCAGGAGTTGGGATCGATAAAGTGAAGCATACTTATTTTAAACTCAGAATATTCAGTCACTGTTGTCTTAGGTTTTGTTATTACTGGGGGTGGGGTGGGGAATTAAGTATTTCGTAATTAGAAGCGAAGTTATCATGTACAACATAAAGGAGGTAAAAAAAGTTAGAAGAGAGCCAATTTTTTGTGATGATAATATGTTTTGCATGTGATTTATTGCCATATGCTCTTGTAATAGACTTTTGTCCTGAGGTACACTCAGTAAGGGCATATTCAAAAAATTTCCTGATCAGGACTTTATCAACCAAATGTTATTAGAAGTATTGTATCACCGAAGTTGTCGTATTACTCGTGCAACTGACCGGTTGTTTGGGTGGTATAACTGGCTTAGGCTGACAATGGTTAACCTGTAGTTTCTACTCTTAAATACTATCCGAGCGATAGCTGATCACAGAAAAAATTTCTTACACAAGTTCTAGTTTAAATTCCAGAACATAGGTCAACTTGTCATCACTACATTTGTTACTTATCCTCCCTACATGGTGAATGTATTAACATTTATATACACAAATATGAACTAGGTGTGATCTACGTAGCAGGCAGAAAATCGTCAGTCAAGGAGACAATGAGGAAGTCATTACTCGGCCAATGAATTATTAATAATAATTATAAGGCCTCCAAAGGCCTCAGGATGGTCGGGGGTGGGTGCCTTGCGCTGCGGGTTGGCCACCCCTCCGCACACCTCTTGAAATGCTCCCATATGACCGGGCGTCTTACATAGCCTCTCCTGAGGAAGTCCTACTCACTGCCTTCACGTGGCGGAGGTGTTTTTCACCAAAGTGAGAGGGCGAAAGCGGATTTCCGGCGCTCTTCACCGGGTTGACTGTCTATTGGATGACAGTCTAGGGGAGATGGCTAAACCCTGATTCCAAACCTCCAACGACTAGCGTATGAAGCTCACTGGAGCTGACCGGCAGACGTATGGACAAAGGGCTTGTTGGATGTCCTGGATGTCTGGCCCCATTCAAAGAGGCGTATGAACCGAACTCCGGTCACCGGCTGCCAATGGATAGTGGATTCCCTACTCCACTCCTACTGCCTTGTAGGTCACACTTGGTTGTGTAAAGGCTAGAGCTGCACTCTCAAACAAAAGGCCGAGCGATTCTTGGGACATCACTCGTACCAAATTCCTGTGGAACTTCATGAACTCTATGTTCATGAAGCCGGCTCATCCTCCCGTAGGAGATAGCCGAAGTAAAGTGAAGTAAGTAAATAATTATAAGGTTTGATTTTCTCTTTATGTGACTTAGGGATTGAATTGTTACCAGGGAATAGTCTTGTTGGCTTAGAATATGCGAATGGCATAGTCATCCTAGGTGAATATGCTGATAAAATGCAGAATCTCCTGAACATCTTGAGCAGAAATCTTAGAATTTTTGGCATGTGATTTGTTCCTGTTAAATGTAAGATGACTTTACACGACTGGATAGGGAGTGAAGTGGTAGAGCGTGTTGACCAATTCACCTACTTGGAAAGTTACATCAGCCCCAACGGGCTGATCACTGACAAAAGGCTCATGTGACATTTGTTAACCTGCATCATCTCTGGTGTAGACGTGATAAGCGACTATCGATCAAAGGATGTGTTTACTGCACCGGAGTTCGTTTCGTTTTCCTTTGTGGCTGTGAGACATGGCCATTGAAAGTGAAAAGGCCAGCTGCTTTTGATCATAGGTGTCTGCATTCTCTCTCCAGTATTAGGTGACATAATAAGGTGGGTAATATTGGGTTAAGGAGGGAAAGTCAATCGATGAGGTTGTGAGGCTACATCAATTGTGGTGCTTAAGACACATGTTCTAGCCATAGCCTTCTTCGACCTGCGATGTTAGCTGACATAGGATCAGGTTGGGAAAGAGCTAGTGGTGGGCAAACGAAAAAATGGTATCAGTCCATAAAATCTTTAACTTGTAAGGAGGTGTAGACTGCTTAGGTGGTTCGGGTCCCCAGGATTCTAAGAACCAATGGCTCGAGACTATTGGTGATATGGCTTAAAACCGTTCTCAATAGCGCAGATGCATTTACTCTTTATAATCTGCCGTATCTAGTAAGACGCTGTTTTTCTATGTTACTATTGTTTCTCTGTCACATTTCTGCTTATTATCGTTCTTCCGAATATCTTTTTTCCCCTCTCATTTGTCTTTCTTTGTGTGCTTTGTGGTGTGTGGCAACTCGAACTGCTGCACTTCTGTGCAAAGTTCTATGTTGAAATCAATCAATCAGTCAGTCTTTTATGGAAATGTAATATAGAAAGCAAGTTTCCTTATGGTTGTTAAGTAGGTACCACGAATATCCGAAATGTAATTAAGGCAGCGAAATAATATGATAACTACTGTTGCTGTTGTCCGTTCAATCCACAGGGTGCAACAACCACTAGATATCACGATATTATATGAACATTAATGATATTTAGTTATTGAAATATAAACTGCAAGTCAGGTAGATATTAGCTGTGTACTTATCTCTATAATTTATTAGTATTTATTGCTGTTTTTTTTCATTATACAGACCGTACTCTCAAATTGGACAGGTCTGCGGTTTCATTTTTCGCCTTTTCTATCATAATGTCAGCATTGGTGATGGGTTTGCTGAGTATATTTAAAAACTTTGTAAGTTATCTTTTCTAACTCGAGTATAACTGATTTTCTTATTTTAGTCATGGTGAATGGTCTAGTTGATTCAGTAAATAACAAAAGACATGGAATGATTTGATTAATGGAAAGATTTATTGCGGAAGTATTGTATTTGGTTGTTTAGTTGAGGTAACAGGGCGTATATGAAGACAACAGTGAAATAGATACTGCTTAGGTTGAGTACATTGACCTTATTACACACTTTCAAGGACAGATTGTCATTGTGCATTGAGGGTCTGTTTGAACTTGATTATCTTAAACTATCTCGAGTGTTGGTTAAGTAACAAGATAAGAGTGAACTGCTTGGTTTTTATCCTCTCTATTACTTAATGTTTATGCGATAAAATCAATAGGGGTAGAGGAAATCAGGTGTATGAGTGCAATTAGTGTTACACATTTTTAAAATAACGTTTAGGAAACTATTGATATATGTATTATAATGGATATTATGTAAACGGTGGATTGACCATACTCTGAGGAAACCATCAAGTGACATCACACGCCAGGCCATCGCTCGAGTGGAACCTGAACGGCAAGCGGCGAGTTGGTCGTCGTCCAAGGGTGATAGGGAGGAGGTCATGTAAAGAGCGGGTTAAAGCATGTGGTCAGACGTGTAGCTAAGTGAAAACGTTGGGAGAAGACCGAACGCAATGGAGACGTGTGGTTGAAGCCCTATGTTTCTTTAGGAACTAAAGGAAACCATAATAATATTGTAAATGATTATTCTTTATAAATAGTTTTGGAGTTTAGTTTAGTTCAGAATCTTTATTTTATGGTTTAAGCATCCTTTAGCACCATTACTCTATGAGCTACATCTTTAATTTATTGTCTGTCTGTTAATTTATAATCAATGCTTATTTGGCCAATACTGTCCTAGAATTTTTTGAAACTGTCTTCAACTATCTGTTCACAATGTATCCAACTAAGCAGCTACGTATCGGTTTGTTTTGGACCATTAAACACACTTAGGTGAAAACACACGGAACTTATCTTTATAATCAGATATAGTCTTTAAAGTCAAAGAATTTACGTAACAATTACGGGCAAAATAGAAGTAAGGGTTTAAACTCCGATATAGTGAAAACTGTTATTAGATGAGAAGCAAGGTGGTTGATTGTTCACTTAGTAAGTGGGAAGGTGAAAAAATCCCTAGTAAAATATACAAAAAGGACATACAAGAGTGATAATAATGAAGGGAAACAAGTTGAAAGAAGTTTTAAAGACTATAGTAGAATAAGGAACTGAATAAACCTTTTCTGCACACAAAATTGGGGTTTGTTCTAACGAAACTTAACACGACTTTTACCATTCGACCTTACCTTGTTGAAAATTTTAAGATGGACTTCAGCGGATCTGTGTGGTGTGAGTTCTTCAGATGCTTGGGAATTCAACTAGTAGTTTACTTGTGTTACTTTATCGATAACCATGTCTGATATGCTTTCAAACAGTGTGAGCTTTATGTGGCCAATATAACCAGCTTCATCGAAGCAGTTGAATTTGTAAATACTTAATTGAGTGGTCCAAAGCGACACTACGTCCTTCACACGTTCAATGATCATTCGTCAGGTGTAGAAATTAACTCCTAGCTCAATCGAAAAGAATGATTTCCTCAGTGATCTCTGGTAGTTGTTGTTTAGAAGCTCACAACATCAGTTTAGTGATGTAGTAAGGAAGATTCTCATGATACTTTTAGTATAGAATAATTTTAGCACAACTAAAAGATTTGAAAGTAAATCAAGCAGCCAGTTGTCATTAAAACTTGTGAAGTAGAAAACCGGAGAGTGTGACTGTGTAGCTAGGAGTGGGATTATAAGCTAATTGGGAAAATATACTTAAGTAAAGAATAATGTTTGGACCTGATTGAGAATTTTTAGCCTGGTTAACTGTGTTCACAGTGGCTGCATTCAGGAAGTATTAGTGAAGTTGGAATAATACCATCGAATTAGTCCATCAGGTTAGAAGTCATGTTGTTTGCTCATCAGAATTAATCACATTAGAATATGTAATAAACTTGTTTTGTAGTAAATATTAGATTCCGAAATGCATACGGACATGTTGGAATGCTGTTCCTTCCAATTCAATTTGTACAGGTGGGTAGTTCCATTAGTCGTCACACAACAATTGTGTGGTTCGTAACCAAGTACACAAAAAATATGTTCTTGATAACCGATAACAACAATGGCAAAGACTAAACATGCATGACATAAGTTTCCCCGTAATGATTGTTCTTATTCCTCTGCGTTCCGAGTAGAACACTGGGCTTCAAACTTGTGCTTCGAAGTTTAAGTAGTGGTAGTGTCGATTTTAGCGGGGTGAGGTTGCTAGCCTAACGTCCCATCTTCCGTCTTTACCGGGTTTACTACCGGCTAGGCGAGGTGTAGGAGTGTGTTGGCCGGGAATCGAACCCGGGTCACACGTGTGGTTGACGAGCATTCCACGCCTGAACCACTGATGCACTCTCCGGTGATTAATCAATGTAAATAAATGTTTGAAATGAGAGTATGCAAATATAAAAGAGAAAATTTTTAGCTCAGGTGGGTGATTTTGATGTGATCGTGTTCTCTGATCTGGGTGGTTTAATCGCAAAGCTATTAAATGCACCGATTTGAAGATCCAGTGAACTTGCATATATATATATATATATATATATATATATACGTCGGATTTCTGAATATTGCAATTTGAATTCTTGTATGTGACTGCTTAGAAGTTTCATTTATTAAAGATATAAAATGGTATAAGACAAATAATAATGCTTATTTCGGTACGTGAAGCCTATCCAATAGTGGCAAATCTTTTTTAGATTTCATCATGACAGATGTCATTGATATTATTTTAATCATGCCATTCAATAACTTCTGTTTTTCATATAAGTATAAAACTTGGACACTGTGGTAGAGTATAACTCGACTGTGTGATTTATCAAAATAAAATCGTATCCATAATGGAACGTCTGTTTTTATTGAAGTATTGGTTTGTAGGGATTTGATTGATTGGTTACAGGATCTCATCATTAGCTGACATTTGTTAAAGAACCATTGGAAAACCTGCAGGGAGTACTGGACAGCTGTTTCGTCCTATTTTGAGACTCTTCATCACTACGCACCCACTGGGGTTCTATTTTTAATGATGAATACTAATTGTAAGCACCAAAGAAGTACATGCTTGCACGGAAGCAATTTATTTCAGTTTGTTATTTCCGGAAATGAAAAATCAACTACTGTAGGTAGATATCAAAACTTTAGAGTCATGTGATTTTATAGTAGAGGAATAAGTACAGATTGGTAAAATATTCAGGATTCCGATTATAGAAATAATATAAATTTTCACCATCATAAGTGATTTTAAATTGTTTCACTGTAATCAATCATCCTGATTTTGTCTCCTAACTTATCGGCGTCCTTAGCTAATTAGCCTAAGTTCACCTAATCTCCTGAGACTAACAATCAAACACTTATCAGATTTTCAAGTGTTAGTTTGCAGGGTTTGATTGATTTTAAATTTGATCACGAATTGACTTCAGTTAGAAAACCACTGAAAGCCAGAGAGTACTGCACGGCTGTTTCGTCCTCGTTTGAGACTCTTCATCAGTATGCGCCTATGACGCCACCAGTGATCGGACCCAAGACCTTCAGTTTACAAGGAGAACTCGTATACCATTCAGCCATCGGGACTGGCTGGTTTTCAGTGGTTCTCTAATTTAAGTCAACTCGTGATCAGACTTGTCGGATGATGTTCATTTAGTTATCCTGACTCCCGTTCATCTCTATACACATTTTTTTAATCTGTTCTTTTTATAAAGGCTCTTTTTGGAATTGTGATAGTTTGAATTAATTCACTTCTGTGCAAAGTCAGTTATTTGGTAGTCTGGCAAGTTTTAAAGTTTTCTGTGCTTCTACAATTAGTGTATTGCTTTGTGACAGACACTCAATTGCGGATATTTTTTGACTTTTTTCTATGTATAACCTGAAAGATATTTGATGTATTTATTCTAAAACTAATCTCTTCCATCTACCTTCTCAGGCATTCGGTATTTCAACTGCCTTTGTAGGCTTCTACACAACATTATGTTGTGCAAGCTTCTTTCTCATTCCGAACAGCTTATTACCTCACGTTGTAATTGAATACTTCTTAAGGCTCACTTGGTTCGATGTAAGATTGTCTACTCTACGTATTGAATTCTACGGTCTGTATGGTAAGTTATAAAAAAAATATGTTAGTGATGATATATTCACCTGTCTTGCCATTTCGTGTTTTGCTTTCATTTTGCGCCTTATTGTAGGCGTCGTTGTTAGAGTATATCATAAACCCATTTCGTTTATCGTTTGCTTAGTTTTCATATATATTTTTTTATGGATTAGCGACAATATTTAGAACGTATGCAACGTGTACCTTGTAACCACACATTTCCATGTTGTGTGCTATATATAAACATTAAACTGTTTATTTCAGGAATAGATAAAGCAGTTATTTTGTTGGTAAGTCCTGATGTGTGTGTGTGTCCTGTGTATGTCCTCTGGCAAAGTGATAATTAATATTGTGTGAATAGCTATCAAATCCCCGCAAACCAACACTTGAATAAAGATCTGATACCCACTTGCGACTGGCTCTATTCAGGTAAGTTACCTAGTGGGAAGTCGTGACCAGTGGGGTACAGCAGGTCGGGTGTGAGGACAAATACTCGCCGAAGATGCTCGCTAGTAGTCGCGCCATGTCATGAACTGGCAGAAGTTGGAATTCATGGGCTAGCCATTGGATCGCGTCCCAGTAACTTAGCGGCTTACGAACTCGCCTTGAAACCAGAAGGTTCTGAGTTCGAATTTCGGTGGGTGCGAACTGATGAAGAGTCTCAAACTAGGACGAAACAGCCGTTTAGTACTCCCAGGTTTTGCAATGGCTCTGTAACCGGTGCCAGCTCATGATGAAATCCTATAACCCATCAAATCCCGACAAACCAACGCTTGAATATCATGATTATTCATACTTTTTGTGATAGAAAAATTATCCAACTTGTAGCTGTTTCTCAAACTGGTTATATTAGTTGATATAATCTCAAGAGTACGATCGCATTTCTTGCATATATATGTATATATCACTGTCAAGGGCAAGAATTTGAAGGAAGTCGACTCTTTCATTTACCTAGGCAGTATCGCTTCAACTATAGGCGTCACAGATGACTATGTTAAAGGCAGGATTGGGAAAGTAAAACATACCTTGATTAATCTGAAATCAGTGTGGAAATCCCCTACACTCAGCATAAGGGACAAGATTCGGATTTTCAACATTAATGTCCAGTCACTGCTCCTATATGGTTAAGAGACTTGATGCGTGTGTTATGAACCGCATTTCCAACAGCCCACTGCAGACACTCACCAATAGACTACTTCGCTGTATGCTGAAGATCAGATCGACAGCCGGAAAGGATTAGCAGCAAGGAACTCTTGCAGATAGCGAACCAACTAAGAACTTATTGCTGAAGAAATATGCAGAAGGAAATAGAGATGAGTCGGACAAATACTGTGCAGACTTTTGGGTGACATCACGCTCTAGATCCCTGAGTTGAAACTCTTATAGGAAACGACGAGTCGTGTGTGAGTCCGAGGGTGACATGGAAGAGATCGTGTAGGAAGGGAATGAAAGCTTATGGAGAATCGTTGAGTCAGCTAGGAAAGGCTGCAGAGAACAGAGTGAAATGCAGATGTGTAGATGAAGCTCTATGTTCCTCTTGGAACACAGGGGAATAGTACATCTATATATGCTCGGTGCGTTGGTGGCACAGCGGTAGAATGCTTGACAACCACGCAGGTGGTTCGGGGTTCGATTCACGGCCGACGTACTCCTTTACCTCGCTAAGCCAGTAATAAGACTGGTAAAAAGGGGAGGTTGAGCGTGAGACTAGCAACCCCATCCCGTAAACAAACCCACTGCTACTGAAACTTCAAGCCTCTAGCTTGAAGCCCTATGTTCCACTGGGAACGTAAAGGGATAAAAAATATGCTCGGTTTTTATTAATTGATTTTTGTTTATATCATGTTGCACACTTGATAATCAATCTGGTCAATGAACTTTAATAATTGATTTTCTTATTTTCCAAATGCTCATAGCAACCAGTAGTATTTGTCGTGTAGTTCTCTTTGTTACCTGTTCTTAGTTCTGTTCCTTCTGGTCTCGAATTGACTACAGTTTACTGTTTAGGCATTTTAGGGAATCTTAACCAAATTAGGTTAAGAACTAATAGCTAGCTTACAACTAACTGTATCATTTTTATTACGAAATGCTAGTCTTGCAAGCATTTCCCTTAATTGCACACTATTTAGTTTATGACTACAAGATACATAAATAGTGTTTCATTTAATCCATACTCCACCATATTTCCAAGTTAGTTGTGTACGAAGTGTACCGCCACAGGAATTTATAAGTCGAGGCTTATAGCAAGGTGGAATTTTTAATCAACTGATAGTTTGATCATGCCTTAATGTGTATGTAAGCTTAATGTGAAGCATGATTCGGTACGTACAAATAAGCTACTGCTATTTGAGTTGGATAACATCGCTAATTTCGATATGGGCTGATATGACCTGCACTAATAATAATACTGCGACTGGCGCTTGGATACAGAAAGGCAATAGGTAAGGCGTCTGAAGAGCGAATACTAATACCTATTTCCATTCACTGCTGGCCCCACATGTAAATCAAGACAAAAGCAGACCGGTCTGAGTCCTTGAGAACAATCCACTCTAAGACGGGTAGAACACTCAATAAACTAATCTGCTGTGTGTAATATATGCTATTGATAAGAATGCCTTCAGGTAATATAATAAATAATATATAATTCATTGTCAGTAGAACACAAAAGTAGTTGGCAAGCAGTCTGGTAAAAGAAACGTTATAGAGTTCATCTAGCAATATTTCAAAAGCAAATGTAAACTGGATGAAACAGAAGAAAAATGTAGCTAGAAAGAGTAACAAATATTCTGTACTGACTGTGCATTTAGTATACTATTGTAATATTGTTATCCTCGACGGGCAACGTTAGCTGATATAGGGTCAAGCTGGAAAAGAGCTAGCGGCGGTCAAACCAAAACATGGCACCAGTCAATGAAATCTACAACAGTTAGTCTAGGCCACACGTAGGAAGGTGTAGACTTCCTGGTTGGGTTCCTCGGGACGATAAAAACCAATGGTTGGAAACAATTGGTGACATGGCTCAAAATCGTTCTCAATGGCGCAGATGCATCCACTCCTTGTGACTTATGATTTCCAATGAAACTATATTGTTCTTCGTTATTACTATTCCTTTGTCTCAAACCTCTGTTTACTGTCTCTAATATGCATTTCTCCTACTTTCTTCTCTTGCTTTATGTGCTACAAGGAGGGAGTGTGGCGACTTGAACTGCCGCACATATGTGCAAAGTTCTATGTCGAAAACAGACAGATAATATTGTTATCCTCATTGATTGGTGTTGCTCCTTCTGGATCAGATGCAAATATCGTGACTTGGTGTTCGGGAACAGGTACACGAAGAGGTCCGTACGAGTCCTCTAGTTGGTTGCAGAGTCTGTAGACATCTGTAAACAGGTAAAGCTTGTAGTGTTGTGGACTTCTGCAAAAATTCAGGCATTAGTGGTACACGTTAGTGTGGTAAATGATAAGAATAAAGATGAAACTGAGTGTTTCAGTAACTTTTTATCACCAGATTTTCATCATTCTTTATCTGTGTTCTCTAGAAATGTGATGTTTACACTGAATGTTTTAACTGCTCACATGCATTTTTTTGTGTACATACAACAGCTTAATTTCTTTTTTTTCTTTCTCACACCTTTTCGACTTTCTAACTGATTAGATTGATTTATGAGTGAAACTGTGTATCTATCGTTCTTCTTTCACGACATCATTTATTTCAGAGTGATCACTTTTTAAAAAAGTAGACTGATTGGGCATAAAATAAAAGCTTATTCTACTAAGTCATATAAGTTGTGTAATAAATTGGCTGGTACATATTGTGTGTATGTATCAGCAACCATTGGAATATTGATTTACTCGGCCCTGGGTAATGTTTCTATACTCCATGCAGCGCACAGGTAGAGAAAAGAGAGAGAAAAGAAATTCAGAGGAACTGTAACAAACAGGAGCGTGAGGGAAAGAGTAGTAACACTGGATATGCGTGAGGATTTAATGGCCGTCGAGCCATATCACCAACAGTCTGCAACCATTGGTTCTTAGCATTCCGAGAACCCCATCCAAGCAGTTTACACCTTCCCACGTGGCTGGCTCAAACCAACAGTCAGTGACTCCATGAATCAATACCAGATTTTGGCTTGACTAATCCTAACCCTTTTCCAACCCAACCATATGCCAACGAACGTTGCCCATCGAAGAAAGAGCTAGCTCGTCATGTGCAACACGTGGCCTAGCCATCTCAACCGATTCACATTCACAACCTTATCGATTGGCTTACTCTCTTTAACTAACACTCTACGCCTAACTTCAATATTACTCAATATATTGTACTTCACATGGGAGATAGAATGCAAACAACTGTGAGCACAAGCAGCTAATTTTTTCATATATTCCACTTTCAATGGTCATAAGAAATGACAGGGCGAACTGCTATACAGTACACACATCCTTTGATCGATACCTAGATATGACGTCTATGCCAGAGATGACATAAAATGGGAAATGCCACACGAGCGTTTTGTATGCTTCCTCAGATTTCGTCATCATTAAGTTCATTAGAGCTGATGCGACTATCCAAATAACTGAAGTGGTCAACATGCTCAACCTGAAGACTGCATTTTGACAGCGTCCTCACCTAGGAGGACAGTATAAGCCTCGCACTCTAAGTCTACAAGACTGTTTCCTGATGAGTAAGTAAATGGAAAGGGATGTGAACTTATAAACTATTGGTTGAAAGTCAAATGACCATGTGGGTAAGCGCCAAGTATGCTCACGGACTTAACACCATATTGTATGGCGCTTTGTTCTCTCGATGAAACGTGTTGGCTGAAAGTCAAATGTTTGTCGATCTCGGAACAAATTTAGGTAATTGTACTTAGTGAGTACTTAAAGGATAATCAGTATTAGAGAATATTTCTGTAGAATCCAGTCACTCAATAAACAATATATATATATATATATATATATATATATATATATATATATATATATATTATATATAAGGATTGTCGTAATTGCTTAGTTCATTGTTTTATGAAGTTTATCCATTAAATAAAAAGCAATTCTATGTGAAATCAGCAGCAGTGTCTTATTGTGCAAAGGTTGTATTTGTGTTATGATTTATCAATTCGTTGGTCTTTGTACATAGGCAGATAGAGCTGTTCATCAAATAATACGTAAATTTGTTTGTTAATTATTTACTAACCATAATTATATGGTAAAAAAATGTATAATCCAGTAAAGATCTATTATATAAACGTTGTTCGTTTACTCTTTTTTTGTTTACTTTAGATGTCATTCTTCTTGTTATCTGGTTTGTTGGAAGTGTTTTCTTTGGTTTGTTGACATTGTGTCTAGTACGTTTGCAAGATGCCCGTGAGTTAGCTGAAGCCCATCATTACAGCACAGTGAATACAGAACTACCATATGCCAGTGTACATGGTTTAAATCGTGTAAGTACTACTAGCGATAGTACCTCTTTATTGGGTGGTGTTGTTAGTGGCGGTGATATTAGACCAAGTTCAAGATCTTTGCATTATGTACCTCGTATAATTCCTGTGCCGTGTCTAAGTCCAAATTTGAATTCAAGAAGTAATATGCACACTTCACATTCATCTCTAAGGCTGCATGAAAAAGTAGATGGGGAAAATGCAATAGAAGACTCTACGACTGGTAATTACTGTCGTCCATCCAATTCATCCACACCAAAAGTTTTAACAGAAAATCAACCATTATTGCAAAAGTAAGTATGACTCAGTCGCCTTTGTGATTATAAATGTGATGTTTTTACTGATGCTCAGATTCATTGTCCTGTGTTTTCTGGTAGAGCGGTAGAATAAATAAAATCTTTTGAGTGCTAAGCTAATTTAAGATTCAGCGTTTGAAAACTTTTCATTTAGAGTACTCATTGAAAAGGTGACGCAGTTTTCTTCGCGTTAAAGTTAAGACTCCAGGAAGAGAAATTCATGAAGTTTATAACTGTGAGCTTACTCATGCCATTATTGCAAAAGGTTTGGAAAGTGCCTACCGATTGGAAGAAAGGTTGGTTACTTTGTCAAGCTACCAAAGAAGGGCGACTTAGGCCTCACTCTACAAGAACTGACGTGGAATGATGCTCTTGTCCATACCAAGTAAAATACTAAGTCGTATCATCCTGGAAAGAATGAAAGATGCACTGGATACAGAACTCCGCCAGGCCGGGACAAGCTGGATTCAGGAAAGGCAAATCATGTGCTGATCAAATTGCAACTCTACGCATCGTCATCACAGAACAAAGCATAGAATAGCAGTGTACCTTAACTTCATCGACTTCGAAAAGGCCTTCGACAGACAGCGTTGACCGAGAAGTAATTTGGAAACTGCTTCAACACTACGGCGTGCAGTACCCATGTCTTTATCAACCTCATTCAACAGCTGCATATATGACAATGCCACGTGTCAGGTGATCCACAATCGAAAACTCACTTAGGCGTTCGAAGTGAATGCAGAAGTAAGACAAGCTGGCTGCCTATTATCACCTATGATATTCTTAATTGTGGTGGACTGGATTATGAGTGAGACTGCACAGGGAGTGAGAAGACAGGAATACGCTGGACTGATAAGAAGATTCTAGAAGATCTGGATTTCGTGTGTGGATGATTTATGTTTAATGTCACACAAACGCGAAGACTTGCAGGCGAAAACCAACAAACTGGCTGAAGAAGCAGCGAAGACAGGACTCCAGGTGAACATAGAGAAGACAGAGGTGATGAAGAAAGCCAACCAACAGCAGCAACAACAACGAGCACCAATCACCCTCAACGAGAGAGATTAAACAGAGGTCACTTCCTTCACTTATCTAGGAAGCTCGGTTTCAACCACAGGCAGTCGGAACGGATGCGGATGTCAACACCAGCCAGAATCGGAAAGGCAAGATACACCTTCATCAACCTGAAACCGGTTCAGAAATCTTCTGCAATAACTCAGCATATAGAACAAGATTCGGATTTTCAACACAAATGTGAAGTCGGTCAGTTCTTTTATACGGGTCAGCAACGGACCAGCGTGTCACGAAAAGGATTTCCAACAAGTTACAGACTTTTATCAACAGCTGCCTTCACTGGCTCCATACTGAAGATCAAATGGCCAGAAAGAATAAGCAACAAGAAACTATGGGAACAAACCAACCAAGAGCCGATCGCTCAACAAATATGTAGGAGAAAGTGGAGATGGATCGGGCATACGTTGAAGAGACCGTCAAATGACACCGCACGCTAGGCCATTGCTCGAGTGGAACCCGAATGGGAAGCGAAGAGTGGGTCGTTGGCGTAAGGGTGACATGGAGGAGATCGTGCGATGAGAAGATGTGAGATTCTGGTCAATCGTGGACCCAGCTGAAGAGGACAGCAGGAACTAGAACAAAGTGGAGATGTGTTGTTGAAGCCTTATGTTCCAATAACAATTATACTAATAACTGTGAGCCTGAATCCTATAGGAAGATATAGTTTACCCAGACTGTATTCTACAAGGTGTTAAGAAATACTCTTTTTACATCTGTTAAGGTCCCTTATACGTTGAATGCGAGTACCATTTAGGTGAAGTTAAATGCATTCTGATTGCAAACCTCCTTGAAATAAGTTTCTTTTCTTAACACTCCATACCAAATAGAATAACGGGACGTTTTAAATATCAGGTGGTCTTGTTAAAATGTATGTTTTTTGTATTTACGGACCACCTACCTTTATGCACAATAATTGAAGTAAAAATAAATTGACTGAAGAGAAGATATGAAATTGATGACTATTGACCCGAGCTGTATTAGTAATTTTTAATTGATTATCATGATTTCTCGTTATTATAGTATTGTTTGGATATTTTTACTGATGTAGATTATAGGGATGTAGAGTGGGAGGGTTTTTTTTATTGCACTACATATTTATTTACTTAGGAACATCTTCTAAAATAGATGTTTAGAGGCCATAGTCAGAAATCCTTAAACCTAGGTTTCGTGCTTGTTGGCACTCGTCAGCAAGACGTGTCTGCAATCTTGAAGGAACTCATGTCCCCTCTGAGATTCGAACCCGTATCACCCAGTACTGCAGTCAGGGACGCATGACACTACCCACTTACCACCTAGTGTCCAATCAAGAGCCCGAATAACTCAGTGGTAACGTCTCTAACCGCAGCACTTGATGAAGTGGGTTCGAATCTCAGAGGAAACATGAGTTCCTTCAAGGTTACGGATACGCCTTGCTGACGAGTGCCAACAAGCACGAAGCCTAGGTCCAAGGCTTTCTGCTAGTTTCTTCCAACCGTCTAATAACAACAATTCAGAGTGCACCGTGAAGGTGAGTCACCTAGCATTATGGCCACGTTGTAACCTTGACTGACAAAATTCAGTCTGCATCAAACAAAAGACTAGACCCATGACACTAGTAACTCACAACCTAGTGTCCAATCAAAGTCTTCGGGAATAGTTTGGTTTAAGACAGAACTTTTAATAATGATATTTTAGTGATTATTTTCAGTGCCATTTTTTTCGTTCTTTGAGTTCCGAGTGAAACATAGCACGTCGAGCTGCAGTAACGGTGGTGTTATCTCTGCTAATTGAGGTTGCTAGCCTAACACCCAACCTCCCCTCTTTTCTGAACTTACTGCTGTCTAGATGAGGTTTAGTAGTGCGTTGGCCGGGGGTTGAACCCGGACTTCCTGTGCGCCTGGTGAGCGTTCTACCATTGAACTACCGACGCCAGTTTTTTGTTGATAGTTCTCATTCAGTCAGTATGTCAAAAACTGTTGCAGTATGAGCTGAAGGCAATGGAAAAGTTTAACTATTCGTAGCTTTATTCTTTCTGAGTAATACTGAACAGCATTTCGCATATTTTGTCTGGTTGTTTATATTCTTCAGTCCACTGTCACTGTAGGATGTTAATTGCCAAATGAGAGTAATTCATATTTTATCATTTTGTACTTGGGACAATAATTTTTCTTCTTGGTTTCCAAAACGTCGGTCTACTGAATAGAGTTCTAAATATGAAGACTAACACATCTTTCTCGCAGTTTCTCAGCATTGTTCTGGGAAATAATACTCAGACTGTGGAGTTGTGCCTCATTGTGGAATGGTCGACTAACGACTGTTGCGTGACAGGTTTGAACCAGTCTCCACCTATTTGCAGTTTCGGGCAGCATTTGTAGCATTGTTTACCCTTTTCCGTATTTGCCTTCTCTCGTAAACGGCGAGTAAATACAAGTGGTTGTTGAGTAACACTTAATTTCTTTTCTCGGTATTAGTGAAAAGAATTTTAATTGATTCTCTCGAATGTTTGACGACTTCATTCTAACTAAACAGCTAGCGGGATCCACATGTTAAAAGCTTGAATATAATCAAATTTTCTTGTGTTATTTTCTATAACTTTATAATAGTATACCCTTTTTTACAGGGGCAACTTCTTTTAAGATTATCTATCATTGACTTATTGACAATAAAATCTTTCGTTTTTCTTTTACAGTCGATTTTACAATAATTATGGTGGTTTAAGAAGCAACAGTGCTGGACCTCCAGTTTTATTACCTTTGAGTAGAGTTCAACTGGCTGCTGTTGCTGGTGCTGCTACTGCTTCGCATTCTATGTCATTTAGTCCATCATCAGCTGCACGTAATAATACAATAGGACCAACTCAATCAAACACGATAGAAGATGAAATAAATCCTTTCCATACTCCTCTCTAGAATAAAATTCACTAACTTCACAATATTTTATTTATTTTACTTAATATATTTTATACATCATTCTATCCATGTGTTTTTAATAACTTTATCTATTCTATTTATATATTTGTTATCATTTATCAAGATTTGTCTTTCGCTTATAATATTAACTTGAATCGGAAGTCTGCATTAAAAAGAACCTTACATTACTCGGATGCGATTGATTGCTGCAAAATTCTGGTTGTGAGAGCAGTTACCCTATTGATTACTGAAATACAGTTCTACTATATTATAATACACCAATTTTTTAACGGTAGTGTAATAGTAAGATAGTGTCTGGTTGTGAAGGAAGTGTCGAGATAGTCTGGTGCACTAATCAAGGCACTCTACTCGAGCTCACTTAGCTCACGGGGTGTTGTCGGCTGAAGTGATGACAGTGTTAGCTAACACATAGGATTAGCTTAGAAAACACTTAGGGGTTGCCAAATCAAATACCTGGAATCAATCTATAAGGTTTTTGACTATTGGTTTAAGCCAACTATGTAGAGGGAGTTGTATACTGCCTGGTTGGGCTCCTTGAGATATTAAGAATCAATAATAGCTGGAGACTGTTGGTGATATAGCTCAAAGTGTAGTTCCCCAATGGTGCAGATGTATTCACTTTTTGTAATCTCTCATATCCACGAAATCGTCATGTGCTTCCATGTTTTACTACTCTTTCTCCCGTACCTTTCTGGTTTTATTAAAGTTCCTTTGAATATCTCCTTTTCTTTCTTCTCACCTTTGTGTGCTGAATGGAGTGTGACAACTTGATGAACTATGCTTTATGTTGAAACTCAGTCAGTGTTTGAATTACATTTCTCTCTTAAGATTTAATTTGTTTCACCAAGACTCATGTTCACTAGCGTTGATGTGACAATAGATTAGTAGTTTATATTGCAATAACTATCTGTTGTTTCACGTGAGATTGATAAGCACTTTTTGTGGATTTATGATTGACTTCATGTAAACGCGCAAGGTTTGATTGAGACTTTTGCTGAATTACGCCATTAGTCACATACATAATTTATCGAAATGCCTGTCAAGGACTGAGTCTGTTTCTTAGCCTTGTACTGTCTTCTACATCATATCAATCACAAACAGGTGGACATGGGAAATAAAATCTTATGTAAAAGTCAGTCTACTTCTCTGAGGATATTGAGAGAAATAGATCACTAGCGCAATACATAGGTAGTAAGGAATATCTGGGAAAGTCAACTGAATAAAGTCTTCATAGACTTGGAATAATAGCAGCATTTAGCAGATCACTGTGGTTGATTTAAGTGGTGAATTATGGCTCTCAAGGTTTTAGGAGTGATGATAACTGTAGTTAATCACCTCATAGTCGATTTCAAATGATCACTGTCATGTGTACCGCAATCCACTTGTGAGCGTTGCATAAGTTGGGCTTAGTATTGAAGTGGTTGTGAACCCAAAGTAGCATGTCAAGTCATCACTTATATTAACACACTATTTACTTTGGTGCAGGGATGAAACAAATAAATTATTGCGTTATCTTGTGAAACTGTAGAGATTGGTTAAAATGTAGAGATTACAAGACAACTAAAATTAACGTTTGAAGACTTTAGGCGACATAACTCAAAAACTATCTTTCTTGTTTATCAGTCATAAAACTCAGGGTTGCAGTATTGGGTAGGACAACACAAGCAACAGTAGTGAGTGGCTAAAACTGATGGTGTGTCATTTAACTAGGTAGTGTTAACAAGCCAATTTTCAACACAATTAAAATTCCTAAGCCGTTGGATTACAACCCAGTAACTGAGTGTTAGTGTCCTGATGCTTCTACATCCACTTCGTGATGGGTTCGTCTGTTTAAACTATTGGACGGCTCCAAACCTCGATTCTGAATAGTTCTGTAGCTTATGCTTATGAGATCTTCGAGATTGAACAGATCTCCACGTACTCGACATTTGAATAAAGATACCTCTCACTAACCTTACACAAATGAACAATTTAGATCTACCTTTTATTTGCAAGTGTGTATCGTACAGTAATCGTACACTGCGTCGGTGGCATAGCGATTAGGGTGCTCGTCGACCATGCACATGGTCCGGGGTTCGATCCCCGGCCGGCGCACTCCTTTGCCTCCCTAAGCCAGAAATAATGCTGGTGAAGAGGAAAGGTTGGGCATGAGGCTAGCAACCCCATCCTGTAAAATAAACACTACTACAGAAACTTCAAGCCACTAGCTTGAAGCCCTATGTTCCACTGGGGAACGTGAAGGAAAAAAAAATCGTACAGTGATCTACTAAAACTAATTAAAGCTTCAGAAAGGTGATTTATCTGATGGTTGTTTCACTCCGTTTTGGGACTATTCATAGCGCGCATTCACGACCCCACCAATGAAGTAAATTCGATTTCCATTCAACTGATAGGATGAAACTACAAGGCCGGTGAATATTAATTTCTACTAATTCGCTAAGCAGTCTTAACATCATCGCTGAGTAAATATCCTCACATTCGATTTGGTACACTACACCAGAACTTCACTAAATCCACCTTGAGTTCAACCACTAGTGAATAGTGGATTATAATTCAGATAATTGTGTTTTTATGAATTTATCGAGATCTCCCTTGAAATCAGTTAGATTTCTACGAAATGAAACATCCGAATATTATGCAATTGAATAATAAGTAAATGCCTTTTCATAACCATTATGCACGCCATATCATCGATTGGAACCCGAATATTAAAAGCGACGTTTCAGGCGTGTATCTGAGAGTGTCATGGAGGAGATCGTATGAAGAGGAAATATAAGCTTATAGGCAATGGTGGAGCTGGCTAAGACGACAGACTTCAGAGAACAGGATGGAATGGGGATGTTCCGTTGAATCCCTATGTTCCACTCGGAACCCAAGGGAATAATAACATAACTAGCTACCCAACCAATGATTACAGTCGTTATCTAGAGCCTGAAGCCAGTAGTCCGGTGACCTTTGGGTTCAAAGTTTTTCTTTCCATCTTGAATTACTGTCATATTGCATAAAATCAATAAACTATCAAATATCACAGTGTATAAGAGTGGTTCATCAATAATGAGGCTTTATGATCAATACCAAGAAAAATAGTGAAGATATACCTGCCTTTGAAATGATGAGTACACTGTAACAACGGCTTTCCAATAAGAACGTTAAGTTAATGATGTGTAGATTGAATAGGTCAAAAGTCATTAAAACTGGTAGTATATATGTATATTTTTTGGTTGCTCTACTTTTTTTTCGAAGTTCAGTTATATATATTAATAATAGTAATAATAATAATAATTTAATATGACCATATTTCATTTTCTTGTAATTTTCTAAATATTAAATCACCTCATTGTATTTATGTAACATAAAAGGTATCTAAATGTGCGTCATAATTCAACATACTTTTTTTTTGTTCTTTTGAAATGATAAAATAAGTAGTATGCACAATTAACATGTTCATTTGTCCGTCTGTATAAAGTTGTACTTGTGTTTGTGAGTGTGTGTGGGGTGTTAATGTCTCTATAAGTCATATGGATGCAGTAAATGACATTTAGATAATACAGCATAATGATGATGTGAATGGCCTACAGATAGACGACATTCAATAGCATTATTAGCATAACTAATTTCAGGTACTAAAAAGTCTGGATTTAAAATCAATTGAAATGTGTATTCACCAGGAATTAAATCTGTAATATCTAACCACTGGCAATCATAATCATGAAAGTAATTATCTTGACAGCCAGGACTGATACCTAGTTTAATAAAAGTTAAAAATAATAACAATAGTAATAGTATTAATAATGGCAAGGTTGTTTTAAATAACCGAATTCGACAAGTCTAAATTTATATAATTTTCAGTGATAATAAAAATCAACTTTTTCAAGAGTTTGTTTGTAGGGATTTGATTTGTTTTTGATCACCGATTGACATCAGTTAGAGCTGTTTCGTCCTAGTTTGGGACTCATCAGAAGTACGCACCCACCGGATTTCAAGTGCATTACCTTCCGGTTAAAAAGTAGTTTCGTAAACCATTCAGCCACTGGGATCCGACTCAACGACCCATGAATTCTAACTTCTACCAATCTCTGATTTTGGCACGACCACCAGCCAATGTCGTCGGTGGTGAGTATATATCCTCACTTCCGATCGGGTGGACCACAGAGGTCATGACTTCTCATCGACCATTGAGTTGGGTCTCAGTGGCTGAATGGTCTACGGGTTTGCCTTGTAACTAGAAGGTCCTGGGTTCGAGACTCAGTGAGTGCGTGCTGCCGATGAGTGCCAGGCGGGGACGAAACAGCTATCCAGCACTCCGTGGTTTTCAGTGGTTCTGTAACTTATATCAATCCGTGATCAAACTTGGAAAGTATCAACCTTATTTTGGAAATTATGTTTGAACACAATACTGGTTTCATAGCGTAATTTCTTCCAAAATATTTACTCTTCATATAGAGTCTACAATTAAATATTCACCAACAGTGTACTGGATGGCGGAATGCCGTTCTGTCTGAAACGAAACTGAGTCATCTACGATATTTCTCTTTCATTTTCTTCTTGGTGTTCACGGCAATAGGGTGGAAGCCAGCAAAAAGTTTATGCTGCCAGTGAAGGATATTAGTGGAAGATTAAAGCAACAAAAATTGGAGGAAAGCGAATGCATCAAGCAGGATGGAAAATTTAAGTAGTCCAGGTCACCATTATCCTACACGTAGATGACAGGTGAGGTCATAAGAGTATGTTAATTACGGTATGAACTACCGACTGTATCTTTTCAATCAATTGGTCAGGTACGAAGTTGAGATTCTTGAGGTATCCGCTTTTTGGATTCCAAAATGGTTTATTTACAATAATGACAATGTAAAGGGAAGACTTTGCAGTATTATTTCAGCCACTTGCCTACAAAGTACACAACTAATGTATTATCAGAAAGTTATGTTATCTCATAAAACTGACAGTTGAGATGTATGCGAATTTGTATTGCATCATAATCTCTATTGTGTTGGTGATCCTAATACCTGGATTATCTTTCTAGTCCAAGCATAGTTTATTTAATGATAGGAGCCAGTGGAAACGCGATTTTCACACTCCTTGTAATTTAATGGTTGCTGTATAACTTTGGTTTGGAAATTACCTTCATATTTATTGATGTGAAACAATAAGGTACGGTTAGTGACTTTATTGATAAAAGTCAGTCTACAGACTTTCGGTTAGGTTATTTTGGCTGGTGGTAGCTAGCAGTGGTATCCTGGGTGCGCATTTTATTCTATTCAGGACTCGACGTCTGGATGTACCTTCATTCCCAATCAATGGTGGTGTTCCCAATGAGATTGTGGCGTTTGAAACGATGGGTACAGAGTTCGAGTCCCATTGGGAGCTCCATCACTTATTGGCAGTGCGGCTGCATCCAGTGACGGGTCCCAAATAGAACGAAATGTGCACACTGGATTCCACTACTGGTCACCATCAACCAAAATAACTCCACGGTAATCCATAGACATTGTTGAAACATCCGTTTTAAGAGTCGGCATGTTAATCAGCCGAAAATGCAAAATTAACCCGAAAAAACAGATTTTTCAGTTAGATGAATGTGAAAATTGTTAAGAGAATTAACAATATCTAACATATATCTTAACCATTTACTAAGAAAGATTCAATGAAGTGACAGATTCGATTCTAACATTCTTATAAATGTGTGTAATGATTCCGTTCATCAGACAGTACTTGAGAACACAAAAATCAATATTACTTTATTGAGTATTGCTTCCGACACAATACCTTATAACTGCTTGTTAGGAATGAGTTGCAAATATATTTATGAAAACCTCAGGTAGATTGAGGGTCTACTGCCTCTGCGTATAAACAGCAGTGGATTGAATTAGGGATTCTTAGTTTCACCATCTCTCTGTCATTTTATCACCTAAAACATCCTGGAGGCAGCTGTGAAGTAGATATTCTAACCGAAGCTAAACTTTGAATTTACAGTTTATATAATCTTTCTGTGTGATAAAATGTATACTATCCACATAGCAACTAACTAGTTGATGATTAGTTTTTGTATCTTGTGTGCTTCACATCATCAGATTACAATGTGCTTCTACAGCATTGATAAGGGCTTGTACTTTCATTCATTCATACAAATAATCTGTTAAAAGTAGTGGGGGATTTCATGTATCTAGTTTTCAGCTTGTGCTAATAAAGCTGTAAGGGGTGGGATTTTAAATGAAATACAGAAATTCAGATCTTTATACGTCTATCTGACGCACTTTTAGTGTTATTTCAGGCTAAACCTAGGTGTCACATGTCGAATTTTTAACGTTTTGAACATGCAGTATTGCTCTACGTCTGTTAAATCTTGTCTTTCCACGTTGAGGGTGTCCTGTCACTTCTTGTGTTTAACAATAATATTTGTCGCTGCATAATGGCCTTCATCCAGTGGTGACACCACGTAATGAATCCTGTTTTCCAACTACAACGAGTGTTTGAATAAGGTGGGAATTGTCTTCTTTGAGTGATACTGTTTTCAATCACCGACTTCGGTGGCTCCTATAATCTTCACTGGCATTCCTGAGAATAGTTAAAAGAACTGGTTTTCTAATTAGCTCTGGACGACAGTTTTGTTTGACTACTTCTTTCAGGAAATAAGAGCACCCTGGGTGAAGTCAGAAAAAGCGAATAACGTTATCAGGTGCGATTCAGAACTGCAATCATTTTCAAGTCCCCCTGTTTCTCCCCATATATGTGTCTTATGTATTAATTCTTGTAGCCTCAGTTATGCAGTTTTCTGGTTTGTTCTTCATACACACGCACATGGTGTATGTGTCACCGATGCTCGTATATACGCATAACTAATGCACACATGGTATTTATTTTTTGTTGAACTTTGTGCAACACTTCGATCATATACATTTTGTTCCTTTGATGTTTCCGAATGATACGATCGGTGTATTTTGACTACCTTTTGAAAACTTTGAACTAAACGTGTTTTTTGTAGTTATCGTGATATAAATTGGTATATACACAGTCTGGTTGTATACAGAATGAATTATGCCTATATATATATATATATATATATATATATATATATATATATAGCGTTACTTATTGCTAAATTTCTTGACAATATGTAGGTAGTTTAATGCTGACACTAAAAGTGAAATTAGAATCAACACTTCTGAAAAACATTCATATCACTAATTACTATTTGTTTGGTACTGCTATTTAGCTCATTTTTAAAAGTCATTTTCGTCGAGTAAATCAGACCCCTGAGTCTTACGAACACATCCCATAACCTCATGTTTTGGAAAATTGATATGGATATAGGTCGATTTTGTCATCATATCATTGTTCGAGGAAACTGTATGGTGTATTATGTGATCTGTACGTAAACTGTGTCACTTTTGCTAATAAGTAATTCTGTATAAAAGACAAATGTATCCTGTTACTTGTATTGATGTGTTACCTCAACATTAAGTTTTCCAAACTATGTTGAAAATAACCGAAAGTACATTGCATACTTGCAGTATCGCTTAAAGCACAATTTTTTTTCCTTCACGTTCCCCAGTGGAACATAGGGCTTCAAGCTAGTGGCTTGAAGTTTCTGTAGCAATGTTTATTTTACAGGATGGGGTTGCTAGTCTCATGCCAAACCTTTTCCTCTTCACCAACATTATTTCTGGCTTAGCGAGGTAAAGGAGTGCGTCGGCCGGTGATCGAACCCCGGACTATGTGCATGATCGGCGAGTGTCCTAACCGCTACGCCACCGACGCACTTTAAGGATAATAATAATTTGCTTTATTCCAAAACAGTACTTGTGATATAGAATAGAATTTTAGGTTTACTAACAAAAGAGACCATTAGTCATTTATAGCGAAATGAAGGGTTTCACCAGTTATTTATCGTTAAAAAGTTTAGAAGTCTATTACTCTCCGCTCTATGTATACTATGCATTTCCTAACTAATATCATCTTTTTGATGCAGTGTAACCTCTGCTCAATTTGAGCGGTAAACAGTCGCTTATATCCGTGATTTATATAGGGAATAAATTCCGGAGTAACAGACCATGATAAATGATGGTTCCGAACTAAGTAAAGTTGAAAAAAGAAGGCTGTTGAATCAAAACCTTGTGTCTAATTAGCAGCGCTGTTGCCACAAAACCTTAAATCCATTGAGCTTTATCTCACTAGAGGTTGTAAGTAGGTAATAAAGCAAAATGACTTTCAGATATTCTCTGTTTTTCGAAATCAGTGAATTTCGTATAAATTTGTCAACAGTTTAAAGACTATCTGTAACTAGGTAGCTTTTGTCTCAAATCACTCTGGAAACCTAAAATTTACGAAATCTTTTCCTTGGATGTGTGTCCAGTAAGTTAATATTGAGCAAACTACATTATGTTTGTATTTAGTTGTGGTGAGAGCTGTCTGCAAGACAAAATTGTAGACAACAATTGACGTTAATGTTTACGTCCCAAATCTTGGTCATGAGAAAAAACAAAAACAAAGCCTAACCTTGAGGAACTCAACAACCAATCACAGTAGACTTAGCGTAGGCGGATATGATTCGCAGATATCACCGGACTGTCTAAGAAACGGCAACAAAGAGATGACAGAATAACCTTCAGCAGGAAGACAACTAACCAGAAGAGGCTGCTTCTCTGCTAACAATAACGAATAGTAATGTACATAAAAATCTATAAATATCTGTTGATTTTCTCAATAAACGATCTGTTGCCTGGCCCTTTTCTTATGTCGTTACATAGTGAGTTTAAATTACAGAAGCATTTGGTAGACCTGCAGTTCTTGAAGTAGAGATGTAAAGAAAAGGCTTGCTATCTTTATTATGCATTTTAAAGCTGTAGGAAAAATGTTTCGGATAAGTGTTAGTCTATGCCAACTTGGTTTGTCACACTTCATAATAGTTCATATTTATATCAGAGACACAGAAATCCAAGTGATAACTAAATAGAAAGAAAATATTGTATTTGTAAACTTTGGTCAGTACCGATTATATTTAACGATTCTGTTGTGATTTTAAACGGTAACATGCGCCACGATAATTCTAAGTCTTCCTGAAACCATGGTCTTATATAGATGATTGAGAATTGCGGTTCATTTTATAAGTGGTATAGTACGCATCCCTTGCAAAGACAGTCTTTCTCATAATCCAAATGACGTCAGTTCAACCGCTCCTGTGGAGGCAGTTATTTTGGCCATTGCTCTAAGAACTTAATTTTCCGTCCCGGGGAACACCTACCAGTGTTGGTGTAGCGGAACCATCAACAGTTCAATATTAGACCACTTGATCTAAATAGACCATAAAACCAATATCGGAGAATCTTTTCCTAACATCTATCGGGCACCCAATTAAATTACCAAAAGCCTCTAGGTATCGAGTATTCTTAACAGCAAAGGACATTGCAATTCGCTTAAAATAACTTTAGCTCCTCGTATAAAAGAAACAGGTTCAGCCCTAGCCCTTTGTGGAACCTATGACTTCATAAATTGTATAACTTCCCTTAATTCATCTGATATTTACTTTAATGTTACACTGATGCATACAGATGCTTTGGAACTGTAATCTATGGGTTTTATTGATTCGATGTCAGTGAAAACGTGAATGTTGTTAATCACAATAATTCTTTAATTAATATGGACATATAACTGTAGAATCTGATGAAGAAGTTACCGAAGAGAATATTGGTTTTATAGGGATTTTGTTGGATTGCATGGAGGATTTCATCATGAGGTGACATCAGTTAGAGGACCACTGGAAAACCTGGGAGTACTGGACAGTTGTTTCATCCTAGTTTGGGACTGATGAAGAGTCCCAAACTAGGACGAAACAGCTGTCCAGAATATTCTTTGTTGACTAATCAGTCTTTTGATATTTTTGTATGTTAGGAGAGTGGAATTGTTAAGAGTTCTACTGTTTCATGTGTACGACCGTTAGAAGAATGAAGCCACTTCCACTCAGCAGCGAGAAGTGGTAGAAGAGAGTAGTGAAAATAAACAATTCCTAACTCTATCATATTGTATATTTTGACAAGAAAAATAAACGTTTACTCTTCCATTTAATTTTACGCTTACCTTGATCACCACGTGTCATCACTGTTGTTGAACAAACAAAGTGCTTTTTATAGCCTGTTTTACAGGCATTATCTTCTAGGCAAAAACTGGCTTTATGACCAACAGCCATAAGTTGTTGTTTGGCATTGATTACCTTGTAATAGGAAAATACTTTCATACTATGATAATGCCTAAATTAATAGGAAACAGAAAAAAATATGAGGATAAATTCAGCAATTTCCAGTCACAGATATTGATTAACAGACATAAACAATAATATTAATACTACTAAAATTATTACTGCTAATCATAGTAATAGTGAATGTTTCAAATGGACATGACTTGCAATATTTTTCGTATCAAAGAAATTTTAAACATCAGACTTCCGATCTGATCAGGCAAGAGTGTATTTACTCCTGAGCTATATAACTGGTTTGAAACCACTGAGTAATTTGAACTGTTTGAGCTTAGTCTAACGGGGCACAGCCTTGATGAGCTCAGCCTCAGGCGAACGAACCAAGATGTCGTCCAGTGTACAGATCACTTCAACTTGCCTAGCGAACACTGCTAGTAGACGTCGGCAGTTCCCAGCTTCTGACATCAATCAGTAGTGTATTAATGACGATTTGATTTGATAATTATCTCCATCTAAGGTTGTATTATTATTTCCCTCAGATTTCCGGTTTGTAGTTTCAATATAGATTTTACCACAAAGCGACACCAACTATAGAATGGATGCGCTGAAGTTTTAATGAGAAGCCGTGGTCGTTTGCGTCCACCATTTCGAGAACGAGGTAAATACTTACCTTTGGTATTAATTGGGTTTGGCGCTATATAGCAAAATGCCAGGAGTTAAGTTCACGGGTCACTGGATTGTAACCCACTAGCTGAATAGTCAGAGGGTTCGCCTCATAATTTGTTTGTCCGGGGCTTGATCCCTGATGGAATCGTGGATGTGTACTGCCGAAGAGTCCCAAGCTCGAAGAAAACAGCTGTCATTGCTCCTTGGTTTCCAGCGGCTTTCTAACTGATGTCTGTTCCTGACGAAATCTACAGTAATATTGTTTCATTGCTGTATTTGTCATCATTCTTTCCACCATGCTCATCTTTTGCCTAGATATTTCTCGCTTCAAATTTGAGTAACTGCCATTTCATCTAACATATTAAAGATTTCTCCTACTATCATGGAAGAATGTCTGAAATTTGACCGAAGTTTATTATTACTTCTTTTCACGTCATTTCAATTCAATTGCAAATCCATCATCTAAATTTAATTTCCGACCGAAAATCCATTTGGAACAATCAGTCTGTCGTTTTACAATTGTAAACGTGAATTTTTCAAAATAATACTTATCTTTGCTACAGTCTTTATTTCACTGAGCCTTAATGAAGATGTACCGCTGTTTTAACTCCCTGTAATCTGTTTTTTCCCTCGTTTAAAGAAAGTGAACTAATTCATCATTAACAGTTCGCTGCATCTCTTGAGACACTGATGAACTCAGTCTGAAAATGCTGTTCTCAGTGATCTCATAATAAAATAATTTTATTTGAAAAAATGATACTCTGCCACAGTGCCTAAATTCACATGTTATATCAATGAGACTTTTTCCCGCGGATCATTCACAAAGACACACTGTGTTCGATGGTTGTGCAAAATAAGCAGGAGGCCCTGAACTTAGATTTCGTGCTTACTGGTGCCTGTCAGCGAGGTGCTTCTGCAACCTCGAAGACTCTGATGTCCCTCTTGAGATTTAAACCATCGTCACCCAGTTCTGCCTCCACAGGTTTACTACTAAGCTATCTGGGCTGCTGTTGGACTTGGTAGCATAAGGATGATTCTGTGTGAAGTCATATTTATTTAAAGGTGTCTCTGCCTGTTTTAGTACTAGAAATGGAAATCTTATACATATATGATTATTCATACGTTAAATGATTAATTCTAAACTAAACAATTACTGTTTATCCATCAATCAGCTTAGTCGAATTTTCATAACTGTAAAATTCATATTTTTTGTAATGATGTTTACGCTCGATGAATTTATAGTTTAGTATTTATAAAATCGCGGTGCGTCGGTGGTTCAGGGGTAAAATATCCGCCAGCCATACACCTCGTCTAGCGTTTGATTCCCGGCCGACGCACTCCTAAACCTTGCCTAGCCTGTAGGAAGCCGGGAAGAAGAAAGGGGAGTTTGAGCGTGAGGCTAGAAACCCCACAATATCTACCGAAACTTCAGAGCTTAAAGTCTGAAACCAAATGTTTCACTCGGAACGCAAATGAATAGAAAAGAAAATTATGAAATCATCTGTAGAATGACTTTATTATATGAATACATATATAATATATTCTATTTAACTTACATATGACATGCATGCCATATCCAACGTTCAGGTGGTTCATGTGGACGAAACACATCTGTACCAACATTGTGTATAATTGATGAGAAACGCAATAATCGACGCATATGCATTAAAGCTAACTGTCGATTTCTATTTATTAAATTGTATACACTCGGTGGGAAGCAGTTCTCTTCTAAGGCACACTGTGCTTGAAATAATGGAATCATACTACTGTAGGCTGAAGCTTCTAAAGCTTGTACATCTGGTTCTAAATCAGCTAAGACTAAATGATTAAAAGAAGAAATAAGTTGGATACATCAGTGCACAGTCATACTGTAATCTCCACCTTTCTTTTCGGAATTCACGTTTTGTCTTATGGAATTAGTGGTAAAATACATCTATGTATATAAAGGTTTATTTGTATTTTAGACTTTTATTTGAAGAACTTATTGGAGAAGAATTTGAAAGTGTTTATTTTAAACTAGCTGAGATTTTTGAATTTCATTCGAGTCATGCGGTTAGGCAAAAATCCTAAATTAAAGTCTGTATAACAGCAAATCAATGGGATCCAATCAGTAGTATATAAACTTTTGCTATGAAGATGGAAAATCAAGGGGGATTTGCCATGATAATGAACTGTTTATAAGCAATTAATTCTCATCATGCTCAAGTTTTCAAGGATATTTTATCGTAAAAAATTGTACTTTAGTTAGCTGAAGGGATTCGTCAGTATTCAAATACTGACAGGGTTAAAATAGTCTACAGCAGTAGAGAAAATTCGCAGTTCAAGATCAGGATGGAAATTGTCTTCCGAGCTTTGATATTTGATAGTGAACATTTCATGATTAGACTTGATAGTAACTTTGGCATTGACTTCATTTAAAAGTGGGATTTACTTTTAAATTGGATGAATGAAATTAGTACTGAACATGTTATCAAGCTTGGTGATGAAACATCCGCCATTAAATATAAAACCTTGGAGAACATCAAACAGTTTCTAAAATGTTTTACAGTTGAATAACATGAACATTCACTTAACTATTATATGAACGATAATTGGAAATTAAACTTTATTCTGAAGTTAACTATTAATGTACCCTGCGGTTTCTCAGATGTGTTCCGAACTTAAAGTGTGACACTAGACTAATATCTTACGGTTTTTTTTTCTGTATTACATTGAATAGTGACCCCATAGTGTGTTCTTTTGTTAATTCTTATAAACTACTGTAAATATACTGAACAGTGAGTCAATTTTATTTAAGACTGTAGTGTTAGGACGCATGTTTCACCCTGTTCAGAATTTGTTGTCTGAATGTACCTGCATACTTTTGTCCCTATTTGTGAAGTGAACCAGTCATTCATCACTTTGAAGTTATAAAAACAAAACATTACGAAAATATAACTAACATCCAAGAATACGGGGTATTCAATGTAAGTCGTTCACTTGGTGAATAATAGCCTGTTGTTTGCGGTGATAATTACATACTTTAGATATTAATTCAAACACTGATGTGGGTTACGCATGCCTAGCCACCGCCTTCCTCGACCGACGGGCAATGTTAGCTGATATAGAACCAGGTTGGAAAAGGGCTAGTAGCGGTCAAACAAAAACTTGGCATCAGTCAACGAAATCCACGACAGTTAGTTTAAGCCAGTCACGTAGGGAGGTGTAGACTTCCAGACTGGTTGGGGTCCTCGGGATGGTAAAAACCAATGAGGGCTGGAGACAATCGGTGATATGGCTCAAAATCGTTCTCAGTGGGTTGCGCAGATGCATACACTCTTTGTGATTTGTCATATCCACTAAAATTCTATTGTTTCTTCATATTACTATTCTTTTTGCCTCATATTTCTGTTTATTGTATCTCTTTTGAATATCTCTTTACTCTCTTCTCTTGCTTTGTATGCTACAATGAGGTAGTGTGGCAACTCGAACTGCTGCACACCTGTGAAAAGTGCTTTGTTGAAACCAGTCAGTTAGTCACTGATGCGGATACATCCATTTGACGAGTTCCTAGTAAGAGGAAAGTATTATGGTAAATTTTATCCGTAGTTAGTATCGAAACATACTTTACTAACTACTCCTTGTATTAGGCTAAATGAATAATCGCTTATTCATAAAATATGTCTTCGATAAATGATAAGGTATAATAATCAATTTTGTTATCAAGGCATTATTTAGTCCGCGGAATATGAACAACCATCACTTTTTGTGGCAGTTTTCAGTGATATATTAATCTGTATATTAAATAATTTGCTTATCACTGAAGTAACGCGCTGTTCAGCGTGATTATATAAAGGAACACTGAAGCTCATCGTTTAGTTTTATAGTTACATAATTTATGCCATGTATCTGCTGTTTATTCCGACCTAAGGCATGAAAAACAACCATCTAGTACAAATATTCTTTTGCTATAGAAAAGGGTGGTGACTAGCCGGGGAAACCATTATGTTCTTCCTGGGACACATTAACAAGATGGACTTGCATATCTGTGTTAGTATTCCCAATGAGACAAAAATCCAGCAGCCATCGTTACAAAAGTCATAGCATTGACAACTGGTGTGCTGAGCTGTGAGAGCCTTCTCTTTGTCTAGCGAGTTTTAGTGTGAACATTATCATTTACTAGGGTGCACATACAGCCGGCTGATGCGTCCTATATAGGAAGTAATGCCCATCTCAGTTTCCACCGCTAGTCAATATCTAGAAAACAACTTTAAATTTAGACTAATGGCTTTATTAAAGTATGGGCGCTAACAAAACTGGTCATTTTAATATATGTGTACAACTTGGGCACAGTGGTAGTAAGTAATTCCATATTAGTTTGTTTATTAGATGTATTGCACAGTGCATCAGTATTATTTACTGGATGACGTTTCGAACAAAATTTATTGGTCATAACCATATCAGTTATAATCACACGACTTCGAAACTTGAGGTTTATAGTTTTCTTTGTTCTCTCCTATTTGTCGTAAGGGTAGTAGAGCTTCTCCAGATATCTGGGACAGGTGTTGAATCATTCCTATTACACGTATTTGCAGTTGATTCGATAAACAAAGCTTCTGTTATCAATCTCTCCCTATACCCTCGGACATTAGATTTTAAAACTGTCATCCTATCCCATCCTCTTGTGTGGTTAGTAGTGATAGGATAATAATAATAATGACGACATGCATGTCAAATATGCGCAAGACAACATCAACAATAAGGAATCTAAATCATCAGTAGTAATTCCCTACAAGGAAGGAACCTCGGAAACCTTTCGCAGAATTCTTAACAAAGTAGGAATAAAAGTGGCTGGTATTCAAAACCACAAACTCAATTAGAAACAAGTTTTGTCGGTTAAAGGATCCTGTGGAGCCTTTAAAACAAAACAATTTAGTTTATCTAATACCCTACCTGCAATGATTGTCAGGTCAAATACATAGGAGAAAGTAGTAGAACAGGCTCAGTGAGTCAGACTAGCCGAACATAAATCCTAGCAGCAAAATCTAGATTGGTTGACCTAAATAAGATAAGAAATCTAGAGAATAGTTCAGCTATAGCACTCACTACATGCAGTCACACACAACCATACAACAGGATGGGATAGGATGACAGTTTTAAAATCTAATGTCCGAGGGTATAGGGAGAGATTGATAACAGAAGCTTTGTTTATCGAATCAACTGCAAATACATGTAATAGGAATGATTCAACACCTGTCCCAGATATCTGGAGAAGCTCTACTACCCTTACGACAAATAGGAGAGAACAAAGAAAACTATAAACCTCAAGTTTCGAAGTCGTGTGATTATAACTGATATGGTTATGACCAATAAATTTTGTTCGAAACGTCATCCAGTAAATAATACTGATGCACTGTGCAATACATCTAATAAACAAACTAATATGGAAAAACTGGTCATTCCACTCCAGTTAAACAAACCATAGGAAATCAGGATCATGATCAGTGCAGCTTCCTGATTCTACTTTTATTGATGGATGTCGACGAATTAGAATGTCTGATTACATGTACCTGCCTACCTTTTAAAGTCCTATGGTTTAAATCAATAAATGATAGGCAGACAGACAATTTTTAAATATGCAGTAAAGGGAATTAAGAGTTTATCGTATACATATAAATTCAAAAAGTATCAACTCACCTGTTGTACAGTTGACCACAATTCCTAAACTTTTATTTGAACATGGTACACCATTCGGATCCGTAAAAGTGATACAATCTTCTAACCTTGACTCATTTCCAAAACAATGTCCAATTCGTACAAGTGGATAAAGTTTAGTCAAATTCAAGTTTTTCAATGGTACCTTGAAGCATAAATATGTAATTTGTTAACTTTATAATACTGTAAGAACAAAAATGATTTATGGTCTCAAAATGAATTATATGCTCATTCAAACTTGAAGTATTTTAAGGCAATCATTTCCCTTGATGATTTTAGATAACCATTTCGTCCTAGTTTGGGACTCCTCATCAGTACGCACCTACCGGGATTCGGACCTAGGACCTGGTTACAAGGCGAGCTCGTAGACCATTAACCCACTGGGAACCTCGGTGCGCGCGTATTGATGAATAGCCCCAAACTAGGGCGAAACAGCTGTCCAGTACTCCGAGGTTTTTCAATGGTTCTCTAGCTGGTGTCAGCTCATGTTGAAATCCTCCAACCAACCAATCAAACGAAATCCCTATGAAAGCCAATACTTGATTTTAGATAAGATAATAACAAGACGTTTAATGTACTTGCTCAACACATTTCGGACATTCTGACCCCATATTTGCTTTCCATAAATATTTATGTTAAAGGTAACGGAGTATAAAGGTTCGAAATTCAGTCAAAATGTTTACGGATCAAGATCACAGATAATAGGTAGGAAAGTGAGGTGAATGGAATGGGGAGGGGTGGGTGAGTGAAAATACTATTAAGTAAAATGAACCTTGGTGATAAAATTGGATTACCGAAGCAGGCCCACAGTAATAATAAATAATTTTTGGACATAAAAAACATGTTTAAGTCACTTTATGGCTAAGAATGCGGCGGATATAAGTGTGTGTGATCCAAGCCTGTTTTATGTATGTGTTTAAAAGCACTATTAATGTCAACTTTGCGACTCATCTCAATGACGTGCTTTGAGATAGTTGTTGAACGATTGTTCTTGCAGCCACTTTTGAATGTGTTATGTATATCCTAACCTGCAGATATCAATGGGTTCTCCACACGTACGCGTAACTACATATAAATGTAAATTGGTAAACACAGTAGGATGTGACAATATTTCTGGGATACTGTGAGGGTTTACAGGAAAGCATAGATTCCATTTTCTCTGTGAAAATAAGTATAGCTGTATAGTAAGTTCTACCGAGTGCCTCTCTGAGTTTCTGTTTAGTGATCAAACTTAAGCGATCACTCTTGAACAACAAGGGTATATAAACATTTTTTGGGGAGCTGGTTGGACTTGTGGAGCTTTTTTGTTTGACGCTCCTACAGCGTTTCATGAGTGTTTTAATTAATGTATGCATGGAACTCAAATATTGAAAAGTTTCTATTTTATACTAGAAATATTAATATATTAATTTGTGGGAGGGTGTTAGTTCCAGGTCAAATTTTATCTCAATCCATCGTTCCTATTCTCACAACTTCGATTCCATCCTATGTATAGCCCCGGTACTCGAGACATTTTTTGTGACTTTTGAAATTTTTCTGGATGATTTCAATGTTATCAGAGTCAATCTTGTACCTTATACTATAGTGCATAAAGCTATAGCTGAAGATTTCTTTGCAGCTTTCGAAATTCTGTTGGTGGAAAAGTGAAAAATGTGAAGGAGAAAAAAGTTACTTTCAATTTTTTTTAAACTTTCTTTTCTGATTTATCTCATTCAGTTTTTATAATATCACATCTTTTTTTCTGTAAAATTATCCTACATAATGAGAAGTTATATTTCTAAGTCAATATAATTTTGGTTTCTATAGTCCTTCGTAAATAATCATAACCTCTGATGGCATTTTCAAATTTCATTTCATGTTCAAAGAAATTTAGGTTGATTCTCATTTCCTGTCGATTGATTATGTTGGACTGAAACATTCGGTCTTTATTGACATGTTGGCTCCTAGTTTAAGTTTCACTCGAAACATCATTATCACTCACTAGGAATATAGGTACATCCACCTGACGAGTCTCAAATAAGATGAAATGCGTATCCTGAATTCTACTGCTGGTTACCATTACTTCCATTTGATTTCACTTTCATCACCATGTCCTACTAAATAACACTTGTAATTGTGCAACTTTACAGCTACTGAGGACAGAATCTCCGGGAAGATACCTTTTGCCAAGCTCCTTGTTTTTATTCTCTAATTTCCCGATTGATTAAATCTCAGAAATTAATAATGGAAGAAGTCATGGAGTAAGTCCAGATTGTCGAAGTAAGAACAAATGAATAACAGATACTTTACATTATCGCTAAGTCTCCTTTTTCTATGCTAAATCTAGTCTATATACTTCTATTGAAGACACACCAAATGTGTTACTTTCACATAGCTTGTTGATTCGTTTTCGTAATTGACCTGTTGAGACTGTTTTCTTTTTGTTTAACTTTATACTACCTAATACTATATATAGTAGTATATCACTTCTCACTTATTATGTAAACATTCTATTTCGTGTATAGTACCTCTTTTCTTATGGTTTAGCTATATCTGCTGTATATGCTTCTTCTATGTTCTATTCTTACCTGAATTCCGTTTATTCGAACCCATTTTTTTCTTGCTCTGTACATTATTCTCGTGTTGTTGATTTCTAACCGTGAATCGTCTTCGATACAGCTCTGCTTTCACCCTATAGACGTATCGTGACAGTGTTTTTAATAACATTTAGCCTAGACACCTAAAGATTTAAGGTTTTAAAATTTTATTCATTATTTTTGAGCATAATATAGACCCATACTTTACATTGATCCTGTGTTTTGGATTTTCCGCGTAATTCAAACGTTTGGTTTGTTTGATCGAAAGTTGAATTGTTAATTATCATTCAGTATTTCTTAGAAAAAATCGACATAGATTATCTTGCCACGGTTATGCCGGTTAATTTAAAGCGTTAATATTGCCATTATAGATGGATACTTTGGTCCAATCAGTCAACGGGAAAGCCAAATTGAATTAAATAATTACTAATACCCTTTGCACAAGAGGTGGCTGTCGTGATTCATTTGGTCTAGTGGGTAACGCTAGTGGCATCTGAAGTATGAATACTGGGTCCGAGCCTCAGTGGGAACACTATCACTTACTGGGGATTGCAGGTACGTTCAGATGACGAGTCCCAAATAGGACGAAGTGCGCATCGTGGATTCCACTGCTAATCACCACCCACCAATTTATTTCAAGTTAAATGATCTCGAATTTTCCATAATTGGTAGACTGCTAATCTCATTCGTACCGTATGTGGTTGCAACATAAAATAGCTAATATTCATTTTCATATACTAAATTAAGGAAAGAATCTAGAAGTCCCTGTTATTATTCTCCTAATGAGATTTAAAAAAGTGAATACATATGTATAGGTATTAAAAATTAAGTTTATTATTTAATCTATTCACTTACCGATGAAAATGATGCAGCGAATGGATAATTAGCACTTCGACAGGCAACATTTGCTTCTGCCCCACGAAAATTATCAATACATATCGAACTAATAAGCACCTGACGATTACCACCATGCGGGACACGAACTTTGATCTTATGAAGACCATTAGTGTTCAGTTTTTCTACCTCACTCCAAAATATTTGCTCAGGTATTTTAAAAAATGAACAGGAGGATAAAGAAGAAGAAGATAAAAGTATAAAATTATTTTCTGTCACACTGGCTGTTTTGATCTCTTTGCCACTAATGTAATAATAATTTTATAAACATATCGAATACCTCTTACTCAGCAACTGGTTTTTGATTTTCAAAAGAGCCAACTGGTAGATTGCAGAGAAATCAATGATGCATTAAATCAATTTTTGCAAAGTACAGAGTTCAAAATGAAATCTCATCACAGTTTTTTTAGTAATCAGAAATATGTAGACCCAGTGTGTGGTCATTTTGACACTACAAATAGCGTCAATATTACTAGTATAATGCTAGCTGACATGATCAGTTGGAAACCACTCATATCAACCAGTAGTGACTGCTAGCCGTATTGAAGCTCTCTAAGTACTGGTAAGCTGTTTTTCATCTGTCTTAGAGGAGTCTTATCGGTAACATATGCTTACTGTTTTGTCTTAAATAGCTGAGTCAGTTTAAATGGCTAAAATATTGGCTAGGTACTTCGGTAGACATAAATACAAATAGTAATAAGAGTTTTGTGTTGTAGGGAGACTATAAGGGGCCAATGAGCTTTTTACTTGTCTGCTCAAAAGCATTCTTATAAATATACTGAATTCCCTACCTTCAGGAAATAAAAATCCTAACCTAAGCACCCTAGATAGGTTCCGATGTGATCTAAATGGCTAATTATTGAAGTATTCAGTTTTCTGAAAAGAGTGATTCAAGTCACAGTCTTCCATGAAATGTGAGTTTAATATCATCATTTATGAATGATGATGATGCAATATCAAAAGCAGGCCTAGTTGAAGCAAGACTTCCTGTCTTCTGAATCCCCACAAAAATTCTATAAATGACAAGTAAATTAAAATTCAGAGTGGACACTGGAGGTTCAGTGACAAAATGCTAGTCAACCGCACAAGAGGTCAGGATTCAATTTCTAGCCAACGTACTCCTAAACCTCGTCAGACATGCTTTGAAAAAAGAGAAGGTCATATGTGAGGCTGGCAAACCCAACCTGTAAAAAGAATACTACTGCGAAAGAAATTTCAAGGCTCAATCTTGAAGCCCTATGTTTCACTCAGGACGCAGAGGAATAAAGTAAAGAAAATACCATGCAATGATTCTGAGGTCAATTACATAGGTCAAAGTAGTAGGAAGGGGTCAGTTTGATTAGCAGAACACAGACATTTAGTGAATAATATACTATTAGTCTTTATTGAGATAAGAATCCAAGGGAAAAGCTCACCTATAGCACCAAACTATCACTACCAACGGAATAAATTTGAAAGAGGTCACTTCCTTCCCTTTTCTAGGAAGAATCATTTCAGCTAATGACAAACAGCACAGATCAGGATGTCAAAATCAGAATCGGTAAAGCAAGACAGACATTCATCACTCTGAAATCAGTTCGGAAATCTGCTGCACTCAGCATAAAGAAGAATATTCAGATTTTCAACACCAGTGTGTGAGTCACTTCTTCTATATGGTTCAGACACTTGGCATTGGCGTCAAGAAAAGCATTTCCAACAGCCTGCTGCAGACTTTTATCAACAGCTGCCTTCACTGGCTGCATACTGAAGATCAAAAGGCCCAAAATGATTAGCAACAAGAAACTCTTGGAAACAACCAACCAAGAACCTACTGCCTAAGAAAATGGAGATGGATTGGATACACGCTGAAGAGACCATTGGGTAACATCGCGTGCCAGGCCACTGCTAAAGTGGAACCCGAATGAGAAACGATAAGTTGTGTGTGAGTTCGAGTGTGACGCGGAGGAGATGAAAGCTTATGGGCGACCTTTGGGTCAGTTGAAGAAGACTACAGAGAACAGGGTGAAGTGGAAACGTGCTGGTGAAGTTCTATGTTCCACTTGGAATTTAAGAGAGTAAAAATAATTATAACATAATACCACTAAAAGCATTTACACGAAACCACGCAATAGGATGCGAAAAGGTGATAGTCTTATAGATTAATGCAACAGGGTGGAGAAACAAGCTGACTGCTTTAGCTTTATGTATGGAATCGACCAAGAATACATGAAAAAAGAAAGGGTTCAGAAACTGTCCAGGATACCTACTATCCTTATGAAAAACGGCAAATAAGGACGAGAACTATAAAAATTGATTTTCGAAGTTGTCTGGTTACAACTTATATGAATATGAAAAACAGCTTGTATTCGAAACGTCATCCAGTAAATGATACTGCGAAATATATCCAACAAACAGATTAATATGGAATTCAGTTGTGAATACTTGTTGATGAGTTCTTTATAATATAATTAAATAAAAGAGAGAATAGAATCATAATAAGTACATATTAATTCACCTTATAGCCCTTCAAGCGGAACAAACAGAGCTTTTAGTTATGGATGAAATATGATATTCATGAGTAGTTATTTCTAATTACTTTCATGATTACTTATATTACTTTTCAGTAGTTTATGTAACCTGCATCAAATTTAAAGTGTTTTTTTGAAGTGAAGTCTGTTATAATAAATTAGTTATTTCACTTTCTGGTTCCTTTTTTCTTTTTGGGACACTTTTTCCATCATAATTATCTTTTTCATTGAAATTGTCTCTATTAAGCAAGAAAGCTTTCGAAACTAATCAGTTCATTTGAACAGTAATTCGGATTTTTTCTTTTTTTTATCTATTCCTTCACGTCCCCAGTGGAATATAGGGCTTCAAGCTAGAGGCTTGAAGTTTCAGTAGTAGTGGTGTTTATTTTTACGGGATGGGGTTGCTAGACTCATGCCCAACCTTTCCTCTTTATCAGTCTTATAACTGGCTTAGCGAGGTAAAGGAGTGCGTCAGCCGGGTAAACATAAATTATTCTGGTATTTTGCTTCTTGTTCATCCTTTCACATGGTGAGTATGGACGTCGAGAGAAAGTCCTGTAGTTCACTATTGAAACTAACAAAACGGTCAACACTTTATTTACAAGAGAGAGGGAGGGCTACAACATATTTCTTGTATTTTAAATCAGACTACGAAATGTTGTCTATTTTACAACAGTAATAACACGCTTATACGGTGTGTGATTTTCAGTAGATCGTTCTTTGATTCGTTATACCGATCTCATAACAACAAAGTTTCTTTGTGAACTTTGTCAGTCTATCTACATTTGTGATGGTGTTATTGAATCAATGAAATGAAAGTCCTCTTAATCTTCTACAGTTATTATCAACGTAGATGAGTCACATATAAAAGACTTCAGGCCTTTAATATTTTAATTTTGAATATTTCAGTGAAGAAGCAGTTTGGACCACTTTGTCGAACGAAACATTGGAATTATTAATTGTCTCAGTTTCACAGAGATCTATAGAAATATAATCTTTACATGTGTCTGCTTTACACTCGACGTTCAGTTATTGTGGAACTATTCGGTCAAATCTTGGTCAGAGTTCTCATAAACTGGGAATAATTATTTAACAGTTTCTCAAAGTTGTAGAAGTTTTGCCGAAGGAAAAGTTTTTCAGTGTCACTGTAATTTTCATATAGCTCATGACGAGTGTAACAGCTGATTCAAGATACACAAAAAACATGATTAAATACTTTTATTTATTAAATAACATCTGTCATTTTCAAAATATAGATATCTAAATGACAGTGTGCTTCTTTTTGAAACTGAGAAGACTTACATCACAAAATGTGATCTGAATTCAAGTGGAATGAAGTACTTGTCTTCCTGAGCAGAATCAATCTGATTGCATTTCCGGAAAATTCGTCTCGAAACGAGTGAAACATACGTTCAGTGTTTAAATCCCCTCAGTTTAGTGAGTCAGTGCTAGTACTTAGCAAAATGGTTTTCAGCTGAGCTTCTCAATGAACATTTACTCTTGAATCTAACAGATATAATTCAGTTTTCTTCTCATCTGTGCTTGAGACTATTGCAATAGGTGTATTTGTCTTAGTGTTGGTGTTTGCACTTAAGTTGGTAAGTGGTGTCAGGTAATCAGTCCACCAAGAATAGACACAACTTTTTTCTCCTTAAAGTCAGTGAACACCCAGGACACTGATAGGTAGTGCGTAAGTGGATGCCAACTATTCATGTGGTCTAAAGTAAGCTTGGCATAGAAAGAACGTCAAGCGTGAGGCTAGAAATGTCATCCCATAAAAACAGAATATCACCATTGCCACTAACACCTCAAACCTTATGCTTGAAGATCTATGTTCCATTTGGAGCGCAAAGGAATAAAGTAAAGGTAATAATACGATGGATAGGATTTGACTGTATGGATGGAATGTTCTAGGGTATATATCTACGATGTTTGAGGTGATATATTCATGGTTCAGGTTATAGGATTCAGTGAATATTTCAAAATTGGATTTTACTTATGACATGTATTGAACAGCATCTGTAAAGTGTGTCATCTAGGCATTAGATTTATGTGGTGATTTTGTTTATCATGAATTTATAAATCCCCTTGATACACATTTTCCAGACTAAATAAATCTTTCTGACAAATTATATTAATGATAGGAAATAAATCACAATTAAAAATTCATTTAATTCAAAAAAAAATTAGATGAATTTCATACTAAAAGATATTTAATGTGTTTATTTCCTGTTTTAAGAGGAAAACATTTCTAGTTCCTGCTAAGCGAGACTAGGTGTCAGTTATTCCATTGAAATCATCAGTTTTTTTACTCCTCGAATTCCTAGTGGAACATAAGGCTTCAGGCATGAAGCCTTGGATTTTCAGTAGTAGTGGTGTCTTTTCTTCACGCTCAGTTGTCCCTCTTTTCCGGGCTTGCTATCTTCCAGTAAATTAGGGGAGGATAAGGAGGAGAACTCAACCACTAGCTTGAGGCCCTATGTTCCACTGGGGAACGTGAAGGAAATAAAAAAAAAAAGTGCTTCCGCCGGGAATCTAACCCCGGACGACGTGAAAAGTTGGCAAACACTTATAAATCCAAACATCCTGATTTCAATACAAAGTGATCTCACACAGTTCATCAGGTTATTAAAAGTTAGC